TTATAAGAGGAAAAGTGCAATGCAACTTTTATAAAACAATCTTATATCAGTTTCAGGCTCTTAAGCTTACTGCAGTGCACTGCAGTGATGGGAACGGTGTGTCTAATGCCAGTGAAAAATGCATGTATATATGACCAGATAGTTTAAATGTATCTTACATCATTACCTGAACCTAATCTTATTTTAATGTACTCTAGATCTCTCATATCCTGTCAGTTAGGGACCCATCGTGATTAGAAAGGACTTAATTATTCCAAAACAAAAGCCTACTGGAGACACAAAAGGAAGGTTGTGGCGCTGGCTGTTGATATTGTTCTATCAGACAGCTCGAAGGGAGGAAGTCCTCTGTCTGAGCTGCCAGGCCTCGCTGTTTTTTGGGGGGCTCGGGGGAAGAGGGGGAGGGGTTGTGGGGATAAGAGACCACCCTGTTATCTTTGTGTAAAAGGTCACACAAGAAGCAAAAGCAACAGCCATCTGTGTTTTCCACACACTCTGATGCAGCTATCTGGATAATGGAGGGCTGAGCGCACACACGCATGCACGCAGACATCGGTCACTCGTATCTGCACCCGAGGACAATATCTTGAAAGGTGCATTGTCAGAAGAAAGTGGAAAGCCCCGCTGATATGTTATATGTTGTTGCTGCAACGTGCGTGTGTGGCTACCATTGTTGTTGAAACAAAAAGTTTATGTGCAGGCGTTTGCTTGGAATGAATAGTGCTCATTTATATTTATCAGAGATTTGACGTATGTTTTAGTGCTGCCATTGAACAGGATGTGTCTCCTTATTTATGCGACGGCTTCAAGCAGCCTAAAGCATGATATTTTCATTTGCAGCTTTGACGTATTGTCAAAAATAAACTGGAGTGGAGGCATTCTAGCTAATGACGGTCATTCTAATACATCTAACTCCTGTCCATGGGGTTAAATGAAATCCTTTCTTGTGTTCCACGTTGTTGCATAACTCAATGCACAATGTGCTTGCACCTTCATCCAGACTTGCGTGAGACTATATAAAAGCTCTGCCAAAGACGTGTGTTTCACTAGCAGGAGTATCTGCATCCTCCCAGTCTCCTTTGGCTGAGAAATGTGAAAACACTCACAGGAAGAGTAAATTCTGGCTCGGGACTTTTTTTCACGATCCTATTGTTTTCTCTCCAGTTCCTTTAGTGGCATACACAAGCAGACTGGTCACAGTGGATAGCACACAACACATGCGTGCTCGTGTGGAGACATGTACGCCACATAATTGCATGAACACGCACAGCACATGCACACACGCGCCTTTACATGCTCAGAGCGGATCCCGTCCAGGGAATTCATGTTATTATTGTCACATGGGACCTCAGTGTTGAGCGCTATTAAAGCGATAAACAAAAGCACGCTGCACAGATTACGGAAATATATAATTCGGTAAGAACCTGCAGAGATAAAGACAATAACTCATCAGTCTGTCACAATGAAAGGCCTCTGAGGATGCAGATGCTCCTTTTTATAGAACTCCTTGAGTGGTGCACTGTTTTTGCCTCCACTGCAATATAGAAAAAAGAATAACAAATTCATCCATTATCAGGGTCTGGCCTAGTCTCTGGGCTTCAGGCTAATTAACGACAATATGACAGCTATTGTTCCAGAGCCATGGCCTTTTACTACAGAGCAATAATACTTTGTTTTTTTGGGAATGCAACAGTGCTTTCACTTTATCTTTGAGTAGCCTAGACTTAACACAAACAGACCTTCTGAAAGATAGCATGACCTAATTCGCCACTGACGCACCACTCAATCATGATTTGGAAAACTTATGTGGCATTTTTACAAAGTGCTTACGAGAGCATGAAATTTACAGTGTGGCAGGGACAGATCTGAAACAGTAACAGAGCTTGAATATTCCTAAATTTGATATAATGTACTTTATTGTTCAGATGTCAGTGGTGATACGAGGTAATCTGATTGATGTGCTGTAGACTCCTAAAGGCCCTTTGGGGAATGAAACCTGTATTTGCTGCTTATTTGTGCTGATGCCCAGGGTCTGTCTGCTTATTGTAAAGCTCAGCTGCATTTATACATGCAGTATAGCCATATATATATGTATCTGTGTGTGCAAGCAAAATTAGTGGAGGGAGTTTGGAGATGGGGTCTGCCTTGTTGAAAGAGTTGGAGGAAACACTGCTGACAGCAGGGTTTTCTTTCAGATTGCAAAAAATGTTTTTTGTGTGTATTTTAGGCATAAAAATTTCGAGATGGCTTCAAGAGACATTGATGTGCTCATTTTTAATAATGAATCATGATTTTTTTTTCTTTGTCTTGCCACAGTTGTTGGAAAAAGAAAAATAATCCTGAAATAATCTCCCCTCGCATTTTGTAATGAAGTCTGTTGTCCTGTCATATTCACCTCGTCTGCTGTGAAGTCTCAAAATCAGAGTCTATTCAAAAGTCTCTGAAGAGCACTGTTGTCCTTACTGGTTCACAGTTGGGGATCAATAAAACACGTCGATGATTGTTCGATCCGCTGCAGGAGTCAAACGCTTTGCCTTCCAATTATAAAGGTGTTAGAGGTCGCTTTAAAGGGTGAAAGACCTCTGCCTGATTGTTCTCAAGCATCACATTAATCAATAATGCACTGCAGTTTGACTGCATGGCTGCTTAATTCACTGGTCTGCTTTCTTGGAAAATTATTCAGTGCAAAAGTTTCTCTTTCGTTGACACACATATCTGTGTCACACATGTGCTTTCTAGCAACCAGCTGCATTAAACTGTGATATCTCGCAGCTCTCTCAGAGGAATAAATACATTCAAACCATCCACTGAGTCTAGTGATTTGCTTGTAAAGCAGGTGTTATGGATTGTGTCAGCTCTGGGAACAAGTTGCTGACCCCTTTGCCCAATCCCTTTCCTGTTTGGTGTTGGGTGTGCTGGCGAGTGCGGGGTGAGATCAAGTCAGTTTGTTTTTCTGCTACTACAGCGTGTTTTTCTCAATAATATCACTGTTGTCCCCTTCTCTCTTCCAGTCAAGCCATGTTCCAGGTGGGGTGACAGAGCGCAGTGCACAGCCACAGGCTGTCCAGGAAATTTGTGTTCTCCATCCAAAAACATGTTTTGACCGTCTGTGCCACATCTGGTGGAGATATTTACTACTGAAGCCATTCTTTTCTGCAAGAGCATGACACAATACTCTTGACAGGTTCTATTTGCACACCCAGCAAAAGCAAAACACATTTTGCACAAATGAAAGCACACAAAAAAAAGGTCATGCGCACCAATTGTGAATAAAATACTCTTGAGGGTGGCACATTGGCACTGCCAAAAGACCAGACCGGAGCTATCTTTAGTCATCCAATTGAAAAACAAAAGGTTGCTTTACGGCAGCTATAAATGTGCTACTACTGACAAAAAAAAAACCCACTTGGCTTCAGCATACCACAATAGTTTTATTTATGTTTTTTTTACAGCCTCACAATCTAACAATTGGCAGCGGAACAACTGAGTCACAGTGATCAAATTGTTTTGCTGTACCGTATTGAAAAATACATTAGTCAGCATCATACACAAATAAAGAGTTTAATTACTGCACCAAATGCTGCGGTCACATTTCCAAGTGAAATAATCTCATATTTAACATCCTCTATGGTGATACAGTTAATAATTCAGGAATTGTATAATAGCAAGCAGTAATTTTATTTTATATTTCTTAATTAGACGACCCACAGAAGAGCAAAGATAACATGGAGTCATTATGACATGAACACTCTCTTTGCACCTGCAGCAAAGTCTGGTCCCTTCTGCACCAAACCATCTGGAATGGGAATTTTCCAGTGTGTATAATGTATGGGTCTGTACGCCAGCGCAGCAGTGAAGACCAGAGCCCTGTGGTGATACACTAGATGATTCTTTCATTGTGCTTCTCTGCTCTATCACTATCCACTTCAACTGCGCTGTAGAAATCCCTGAGGTATGCCGCTTTGTTTGACCTTCAAGTGGGTAGAAAAGCAGGAAGAAAGAGGTGAGCTCCTCCTATTCTAAGTGTGGGCATTTAACCAGCATTGGGAGCTGTCAAATCAGAGACCCCTAAGTGGGCTACGGTCCCAGTCCCCCCATGTTGCACAAGGTGTCCTTGGAATCCCACCATAAGCCCCACTTTTAAGCTGTTTGAAGTTTTTCTATTCCTCGAACCATCGTGCTCTGCAGAGCACCAGTCAATCATCTTTGTTGGAGGTTACCTAAGGGGTTAACATTACCAACCTTTCCCATCTGTTGCTAAGGAAGTGGTGCCTGTTGTGCAGGAAACTGGGAGAGCAGTTTCCTGTTATGAAGAGAGGTTTTTAAAGGGTTGCATTCATTCAATCATGCCACAGATGCCGGGCCAGGAAGCCCAGCCAATAGCAAAAGCTTTGGCGTCCTAGAGAAACTGTTTTTGGAAACTGCTTTTAGGAGCCTTTCTATGCACTGTTCTAGTTCAGGAAATGCTCCATGAGCAAAACACACTGGAGAAAAACTGCTTCATTTCTGATTAGATAATCCAGTGATGCTCCAAGCACGACAAGTATGCAGCGACACAGCTGAACAGCTTATCTAACTTTGTGGATCTTCCAACTGTCATCAGTTACATGTCAATGAAAAGACACCTCACACGCACACACACAAAGAACAGATGTTGTTTTCCATGCAAAAAACAATAAAAATGTAGCTGCAGATTTAAAGATGTCCATCGGGACGATACGGTGCTGAAGATGAATTGTGGCTTATAGTTTCATATTTACTGAACAAATCTCTCTCAACTCCATCTGACCCTGCTGGTCTGTATGGCAACATTTACACGCATATGTGGAGCAAAGGACGGCCACTCGTGTGGTGAAGTACACTGATTCGTCAGTGCCAAAACTTCCACAGTAGCTGAGAGAAATTGGTGTGCAGTGCATTTTGAGTGGGGCTGAATCGCGCTTCGAGTCCGCGCTGCGCTCTGTAATCCTGCCTCAGGAAGCGCCAGGAAGCACCTCCCGTTTCCACACAGCAGCGTCCGCTGTAGCATCAGCACTCGAGCTCAAAGCTCAGCTGCTCATTCTGCGAGAAGAGGCACCTTGCACAAGTCGACCACCACTGGAGAAGATAAAGATGACATGTTCTGCTCCTCTTCCTCCACAACTTGATTCTCCGGCGATGCGTTTGGATTAAGTTTCCGCGTCATTTGGAGAAGCACGATCGGCGTGTGGGCAAAAATGAGGATAACTTTCGCTTACCGTGTATGATGATGTCCAAGAATGAACGCAGGTTGGTTGTGAAATACATAAGCTTTTGCGTGAACACACCAGAAAGGCAACTTTTGGTTTTACATGATGAAAAGTGTGTTAATGCAAGAGTGTTAAACTGTGAATCTGGTTAATGGTGCCTGGAGTTATATTGCACCTACTTGCTTTGCACGTTACAGGATGATTTTCATTGTATGACTGGAAATGATCTGGTCCGTTACATTTTAGTTAGTTTGATAGTTTGGTCACACGTCTACTGATCTTTTTTCATGTGAATTATCTGTTTATAACACTTTTTGAGTGGTTTAAATCACAGACCCGTTATGGCCAGTTCCCAGTGGAGGGCTCCACTAGGAAAAATGTCCTGTTATAGTATTAGATTTGGAATTAGGATTATAATCCATCTCTATGAAAGTGCACAAACCAATTGTTCTGGATAAAAGGTCACCTGTCCTGAAAGGTTTAGCCTTCAAGAATGAAAGAAAGAAAAAAAGAAAGAAAGTTAGTAACCGGGTGCAGTTTAAGTGAAAAATTTCAAACAGAATCTCAACAGTAATTATCAGTTTCTTTATGACAGCCTCCTCGCTTTAGATTTTAGGCTGGTTCGGTGTGATTTTTATGGTTGGTATTCATAATAAGGACTCAGTCTGAAATCATATCCTGAGAGTTTGGCACTGTCAAGGTCCCAGTGTCTATCTCTTCCTTTGTTTTTCAAGCATTTGTTCTAATTGAATTCTTGTTGCGTAATCCATATCCTGTTGTTTGCAGTCGGTTGCTTTGTCAGACTGGCATCCTTGTTTTTTTTCTCTTCCTCTTTTATTGTTCTTTGACACACTCTTTCAGGAAAAAAAGAAAAGAAAAACTGTGTGTGCTTACATATGCGCTTGTGTTTCTGGGTGTTTGGGAAGAATGGCGAGAAGGAAGTGCATTTGTGTTGTGAAAATATGTACTCCTAAAGAGGTTTATGGAGGAATGATGGGGGGTGTAGTTAATGTCCTTTCCCTAACCTGCGTGGAGTCCTTCATGTTGTCTCGGCTGGCCTGATTAATGAACCTGGAATTCTTTTTTTTTTTTTCATTACTGAAAAAAAGTCAAAGTGTTGGAAGAATATGCTATAAACGAGACGGAGAGTGCACTGGCACACAGAGAGAGAGAGGGAACACTAAGAGATAACCAGGGTGCACACAGGGTTTAATAGGATGTGCGTCAGGGCAGGTACTAAATAACAGGAAGAGACCAGGGGTGTATACACACTTTGTTAAGTATGGGTGTGTTTCATTAGAATTATAAATTTCACAAGCATTGCTCTTCACTGAATTAACACAATTTAACACCTACTTCATTTTAATAGTAAAAAAAATAAAGTTATTATAGGTATGACCACCTTAATCATATCTTATGAGATTGTTTAAATACACATATGGCAGTGTGAAGAATTCTTATGAATTTAGTTGAAAAGTTTTCACCGTAATCAGCCCATCATTATCTAATCCTGCTTTAACTGGCCAATCTGCATGTGTCATTTCCTAGATGGGAAATGTTATTGTTCCTTCTCTAAGTACCCTGTGGCTCTGTTATTTTTCCTGCTGATTGTGTCCCCTGCAGCTTTCTGCGTGTCACTGCCTACTACAGTGTACAAGGTTTCCTCTTAGCAGTGTACACAGCAGCAGAAGCCACATGTTTTATCTCAGCGCAAGCTTGCAAAGTATGGCAAATATTATTTGCGTCACTAATTTCTTTAAATTTTCTCACTTTCTTCAGATTTTCAAAATCCACTGCAAGTCCCTCTACCAAAGGTCCGCAGTCATCTCACCATCAAAGTGCAGTCCAAGCTAATGTCGAGACCTTGTCCCACTGTCCAAGGTCCAAAACCTCCTGTTGCCCCCAAGCCCAGACCCCTGTATGAGCCTTACCCACAGGGGGAGCCCTGTGCTCAGCAGAGTCTCAGTAATGGAGATGTGGCTCACTCTGATGGAGAGACTGAAGAGCTCCATGAAATGGAGAATCAGGACCAAGAGGAGAAAAGTGAGGCACAGGAAGGGGATAATGACAAAGGGGACACAATAGAGACAGAAACTAAAAAGGAATCAGAAAATGAAGAAGAAATATTAGATAATAACGGTGATGTAGACAGCATCGGCTCTGATGACACAGTCAAAGCAGATGATATTTCCACTGTTGACACTACTGAGAATGAAAATGATGACACTGACTTGAACTCCCCTGAAGATGGCAGTCGCACTGATGATGATGAGAATACACCAGCACCTTCTCAAACTGAAACAGAAGAAGAAGCAGGAGAGGAGGATGAAGAAGTAGAGGAGAAGAGATTAACTGAAAAGACTGAAATACTTTGTGAGCCTGCAGAACACTCAGATGAAGCTTTAGAGGAATCAGACGCTGATCAAACCCAGTCACTCAACAACAGTGAACCGAAGGAGGAAGTCAGTGAAGAAAGTGACGAGCATCTGCACCATGACTCACTTATAAATGAGAATGAACTGACAGGTGGAGGGTTTGCCTTTGGATTCAGCATGCTTCCAACTGTAACTGAGGAATATCCCTACGATGTGATTGGTCCCACAGACGATGCTAGTGATACATGTGAGTCATGCGACCCAGCTGAAACAGGGGACACCGAGGTCTGGCAACCAGAACGGGCAACCAAGGATCCTTCCGGCTGTTTCCGATTCACATCCAGCACGGAGGATGTGTTTGGGCCTTACTCTGTCATACAAGCTGTTCCGGGAGATGTGACTGACACTGCTGACCCTGAGTGGAATCAGGATGATACTGATGGGAAGCCTTCTACCACAGATGAAGAGCACACAACAGGCTATGCTTCTAACCAGGAACCTTACTATGTGTCATCAGATGATGTGGACAAGTTGGAGGATAAGCAGGCACTTTCAGAACTGGGGCACATCGATGAGGCCACTGAACAGTCAAACGAGCACACAGAAAAGACAAAGGACAGCGAGTCAGCAGATGAGTATGCAAACATTGATGATTCACTCTGCCCTAAAGACGATGACCTTGAGCAGGTAGAGTGTGTCTCATCAGAGGATTACATCGAGATAGGTGATGACGATGAAGAGGAAGCAGAGGAAAAGAAGCATTTCCGAGTAAAAAGTGCAAAAGAAAGAAACGCCAAAAGAGAGCAGGCTCTGCGCAGCCAAAGAAAAAGCTGCCAGCCTCGGCTCAGGTTGTGTAATATCACAGTGCCAGCTGACCTAGACCTGGGCCGAACCCCAGAGCTAACCAACAGGGTGGTGTTTGCCCACACGACCGAGGCCTTTGAAGAAGACATAGAGGAACTGGACTGCCATATTGTGCCTTATTATGAAGACACAGACTCCGATAGTGAAGAGCATATTTATGAAGAGGCAGGGTTTGACTCAGAAGGGGAGAATTTTGTGACACTTGATCGAAAGACAATAGTCACTCGATCACGATCCTATTCTGGGAAAGTTCCTGGTTATGTCCCGGAAACGGTACCAGAGGAGACAGGGACGGAATACCAGACCCATGACTACTACACGGTGTCCTTGGACAAGTACAGTGAGTCTACCAGCCACCCCCAGCAAGCAGGTATAAACTGTGTGATTCCATCTATGAAGTCTCGCCGCTTCTTGTTATACTCACGGTCTGCAGATGGCCCAGACGTGTCCTTGAGCAGCCCACTTGAGATGGGTCAATCATTGAAAAATGAAATCAGGATGAAGAGAAAGGATGACACCCTTTCCCTTCCATGTATGATAACTTCTTCTGGAAGTTTCTCCCAGCGTAGCCATCAGTCCTCCAGTGGTGTTTCCACACCAACTTCTCTAGTGGACATCCCTCCACCATTTGAGCTGGCTTACATCACTAAAAGACCAGTTACCAAGAGTTCCCCATCCCTCCTCATCCAACACGAACCCAGTGACCTACCTAAAAAGAAGAAGTCCTCCTTTAAGCGCTTTTTAGCTCTGAAGTTCAAGAAAAAGACAGATTCAAAGGGATTCAGTGATGGAAGTGTCCGCTCTTCGCGTTCTTCCTCTGAGTCAAGCCACCACGGTCCAGTGAGAGTCATCGAGCTTGATCGCAGAAGCACTGGGAGCTCTCCTCAGCCCCAGTCCCGCATGGTGAAACCTCAGCAGCGTCCTTCAGACCTCCCATCCACCTTTCTCCTTTATAAAGACCAGCACAGGAGGAAAGGAGACCCCAAAGCTTATGGCAGGAGCGTCTCTAGAGTGGAGTCCTTCGAGGAGCGCTCTCGCCGCTCTGCCATGCCGCTGCCTTTGACCAAACCCCGCTCTATCTCGTTCCCCAGTGCAGATACCTCAGACTACGAAAACATCCCAGCCATGAGCTCAGACTATGAGAACATCCAGATCCCAGGCAGACCCACTAGATCCCACACTGTTACTGAGTTTTTTGAGGATCCAAACCGTTCAACAGTCCCCTGCAATGAGAATGATGGCTATGTGGATATGAACAGTTTCCCTGGGATTGACAGCAAACCCCAGCCATCGAAATCGGACAATGAAAGGTAAGATTAAAAATCCAGCTGCTCTTCAAATGATTTAGTTTCAAAACCAAGATTTTGAAAAGCTTGTTTCATCTGAGCTCTAAAAGAGATGTTACCTCACACCCTACCATCTATAGTGGCATCTTATTAAATGCATTAAATGCATACAGTCATACAAAGATGAACACGCAAGTGCTACACAATATAGACCAAAGTTATTAAAGGTTCGGTAACTGAGTGCCTAGTTTATACAGCCAGAAAAATTCAAACATTAAAAATATTTGGTTATTATATGAAACGTATTTGGTCAGATCTGGTTCCTCTGTTGGTATTTGCTGATTTATAGGTTTTTAACCATTTTAGAGTTGTCATGACCCCAGCTTTATTTGTGTACACTGGAAATGTTTAATCTGATGGCTGAACGAGGCTTAAAGAAATTCAATCAAAAAGCTTCCTTTGTCATTTTCTGCCAATAACGATAAATGAAATGTACCTTAGTGTATTTTACCGAGGACCGCTACCTGCCTGGTGGGTGTATCTTTAGAATCCCAGATATAGACCAATACAAACAACTATCAGTGTTTTTTTTATGGCTGTGAGCACCACAAAGGATATCACATCTTTCTGTACTGCACTGGGGCTAAAGCTGCATCCCAACATCTAGGCTAAAGAAAATGTAATCTCCATATGCTATGAATTGGAGTGCACTGGCCTTAATACACTACAAAAAACTAGAGATGGACCGATCCGATATTACGTATCGGTATCGGTCCGATACTGACCTAAATTACTGGATCGGATATCGGAGAAAAATAAAAAATGTAATCCGATCCATTAAATATCACGAAAGCACCTCACAAAACTTGCAACACGCCGTAACTCACCTCAGAACGTATGCATCACGTGATAGAGCAGCTGTGGCATGCCGGACCTGTCGGTGGTCTGGATAGCATGTGGAGCTTCGCTAGCAACCTGGCATTTCATCTCCGACAAAGTTATCCCCGAGAGAAGTAAAGCAAGTGTGTAAGTCCATCTCTGAATGTTTGTAAAGCATTCCCACGTTAAGCTTAACAAGCGACTGCCTCTCGCTCTCCGGCTGCTACTTCAATCGTGAAACTGCTTAAATCAGCTGATCGGCTTTTCTGTCGCGAGTCTGTCTCTCGTTTGTTTTTGGTCCACTTTGCGCCAGAAAGAGCAAACCAGCGGCTGAACAACAGCAGCACATTTAAGCTTGATAAGCTGTTGTTAGAATTTATTTAATATTAATTTCTACACCAAGATCTTTTTCTACGTAGCTGACGGCTGGTAACTGTGCAGGGGCGGATCTAGCAAAGTTTAGCCAGGGGGGCCGATAGGGCATTAACTGGGAAAAGGGGGCACAAAGACATACTTTTCTTTCTTATTCTCATTTAAAATGTCTAGCTTTTAATAAATAATTATCTGACACCCAAAGTTTTAATTTGATGTAAAATGAATAGAAGTCAATTACTGTACATAGTGACTATTAAGTCTAATATATATACCCTAGTAAGCTATAGTACTTTTTACTTTGGGAAGGTACCATCTGTGCAGTCTGCAATTTTGTTGAAGAAAGATGTTGAATCTATTTAATATTTCTTGAAAAATAATTGATTTCTGTGCATTTTTTTTCACACTGCATCAAATTAAGGTTGATTACGTCGATTAAGCATCATGAGGTGGCGCGTGAGGGGTGGTTCCCTATTTTTTATTTATTTAATTTTGTTGTTGCTGGGAGTTGGAACCCTATTAGTTAGGTTGCTTAATATTTACGCTAAGTACTCTTTAAAATACCAGAATAGGGAGGATGGTGTAGGTCTAAGTTTATTAGATTGATCAGTATGGCTGAACTATGAAATATTTTTTTTGTATACAGGTATAACAGAATAGCTTTAGTGTAGTTGTTGTTTTAAACTTGAGTATGAACTTGCAGACTTGCAAAATGCAGCAAGATATTTTAAAAAACAGTTTTGTTGATTAAAAAACACTATATCGGATTCATATCGGTATCGGCAGATATCCAAATTTATGATATCGGTATCGGTATCGGACATAAAAAAGTGGTATTGTGCCATCTCTACAAAAAACTACTAACAGCCAGTCTAGAAACAAAGCTTATTCTGCCTGTTCATTTTGCAGTCTGCAGAACAAGAGAGCGCATCTGTCACTGGAATCAGTTTTAAAGTGAGTAAAGCTTGAGTTGTTAGGGGCAGCGCAATACACGCAAGAGTCCAGGCTTAACCCTAGAACAGCTGACAGACATTGTGTGTGAGAGATGAGCAGCCTGCTATGTCAGGCATCACTGGCTTTGGGAAGAAAGACAATGCTTATGGGAGAGCTTACTCCTGATTTTCCATTTGGTGGATTTAGAGGTCACATCTGGTGGTGGTGCTGCTTCTTCTGCAAGTCTGAGCAGATAGAACAGGTAATGGCAATTGCGTAGCTGGCAGAGTGCAGGTTACACACATTAGAGAAAGTCATTATGGATGCAATTAAAAGTGCAAAAATTGAGAGGAGGTTTTTTTTCACATGTAAGAAGTGGCGAACACTAAAGAAAGTGTGAGAGCGTGAGGGGAGGGGAGGTGTGACTAAAAGGAGCTGATCAGTAAGAAAACAAAGAGAATAGCGATCAAGTGAGGTGGTGGGTGGGGGCAGTAGGAACAGGAAAAAGAGAGCGAGAACAGTTGTGGTATAATTGCTCTCCTGTACCTGACACTGATAGTTAAGTTCAGGAGGGCTTTTATTAAAGTAGCTCTCTCCTGAGTGCTCCTCTTTCATTGGACCCTTGAGGGGCAGCAGGGTTTACTGCAGTGCGTGATAGAGTGAGGAATCACCGAGATCAGACTGGGCCAAATTACCCCAGCCTGTGGCACAGCTTCAGCCACTGCAGGCCTCAGTGTTTCCCCAGTCTTAATAAAAGAGTCGTGTTTGATGACTTCTGTGTGGTCAAAGAGATGGGTCATTACCAAGAGCTCTGTGAAATGTTTAAGATGATCCTGGGACAGAATGCTTCCTCCTTAATTTGCCCTTATTTCTGGCAGTGTCCTTTGTTTTGTTTTTTTATTTAATGATCAAATCTACAGTTTGTTTTATGGGTTTATTAGCAAATTTTGTCCTTCGTAACACTTAGCCACACAAAGCTTCTTCTCCAGGTATGCAGCTGTTCATTTTCCCCATACCAACATACATATTTATATACATATTTCAACATCATTTTAAATCATTTGCGTTTCAAGCCCTTTCCCGTGGCTTTTTGTCTCCTGATGATGCTATCAATGTGGCTCATTGTGTGCCAGAGGTCTCACAGCGCTCACAAGGATGCAAAAAGCCTATCTGTCCAGTCACCTTGCCTATTCTTCGTTCCCCTGGAGAGGCATCTATTGCCAGGGTCACTCTTTAGTGTATCCATACATGTCAGAGTGTATATACCGCATGTGTGTACCTATGTTTTACTGCCCACAGTAATAAAGTCCTGTATAGTTGGTGTAGGTGCTTTTGTCTGCGTGTATGTGTACATCTTGCCCAAAACTCTTTTCAAATCTTGACACTTGCCACTGTCCCAGGCCACCAAGCCGACGGAGGCAGTGATTTATTGAGGAAAGATTCAACAGTCAATGTGGTTGTAGACCCACAGAGGAAAAAGTGTGTTTTTGTGGTGAGGAAAATGGCCAAGTGGCCCCAGAGAAGTGCACACAAAAGGACCATGCCTGCAGTCGCAGACATGCATTTTAAGGAGAACTTACAGGCTTGGCTTGTTTCCACGCATGTGATTAATGTCCAGCAGCATTCAGACGCTACTTTAACACAGGCATTCAGGCAAAGCAAAGAGACATGTTCATTAGCAAGCTACCATAGTGTACAATGGATAAGGAAAAGGTGCACTAATGATTTATTCCAAGCCCTATACAAGATGTTTGTTTGTAAGTGGTGTGTATATGCATATGTGCACGCATACTAAGTTACAGCTCTGTGTGCTTTATCAAAGATGAGTCTCATGCTGAGTGTGCAGCCTCAGCAGAATAATGTTTGCCAAGTAGCCCTTGCAGTAACAAATGAGAGCTGGCAAACAACCATTTTAGCAAGGAAAGTCCAGGATTTAGGACTGTGCTCAAATTACGAAGCATAAAGTGTCCCTTCAGGTACCTCAAAGCACTTCCAGGTAGGTTTACAGTAATAATGCAAATATGTTGCCCACACTATGCACACAGTAAAAGGTTTCCACTGTGCTGAGCTCAGTGACACATGCATCTGTGGTTTATCTTTTGGCATCATTTTCACTTCAAACGGTTCAACGTGAACCTCCTCAGAGTGATGACAAAGCCTTGGCATGGCCTCTGAAACAGCTCCTCCACCCACTGTTATGTTAGTGTTAGTAGTGATGAGGGAGACATCTTAAGTACATTGTTGCACTGGGTGGTGGCTGTGTAGCGAGGTGGTGGACAGGGTGTGTCACTGGTTTGGCCAGGCCTGGTGCCAGTCACTCTGAGGTCATTGCCAGGTCATCCCCGGGGAGGAAGCGTCCAGCCTAGGAGCTTCCCACCAGCCTGTTTACAGGAAATGCAGGACGAGGGCTGGGCTCTGGTGGGAGGCAGCAAGGTGGAGAGAGGGGAGGACAGATAGAACGAAGTGGGAAGAAGGGGGTCACCAAGGTGGGGTGGAGGCTCGCAGACTTTCCCTTGAATAGCAGAACGAGGTGTGGTGCAGTCAGGAATGTCAGGTCCGATGTTATTGTTGTTCCAGTTTATCAAGACCATCCCCAGACTCTCGGCATCTTGGCCCAAAGTATAGCAGCATTAAGGATGAATCAACCAGAAGTGAACAGGAGTTATAATGCTGTTCTATATACGGATGGAAGGAATTGCAACCAATTACGATGTGGAAATATTAATAACCTCAACCTATTGATCACATCACAGGGAAGACAGCAGCAATACAGCAAGTGTTCTTCTCACAGTTTCAGCTACACAACAGCCACAGGCTATATGTAATCGTCCTCTCTAAAAACAGAAAAACAGCTATTTAGCACTGCTCCCACACTCTTAATCCTCCCATTAGTATCCCAGTCTTCAATAGTTAGCAAGCTAATGAAGCTTTTCCTTTGGTCCTATTTCTTGTAATAGTGCCATTAGGAGAGGGAAAAGGCCTGTCTCATTGGTCCAAATATATACTTTAACACTCAGCGTTTAGCTCAATTGAATTACATATTACAAGCATCGCCAAATTCGCAGCAGATTGGTGGAATATCGGCCGTTTAGCAGAGAGCCATTGTGTCTTCCTCGGAATTTGACACAGTAGATTTAACTTTGTCGCATTAACAGGGGACATTGCAGTCGGCTGGCGTAATAGCATTGCCTTAATGGTCTTGTGAAAGGCCTAATGAATTAGTATATTACAAAACTCATATTTGCTGGTTTAAATATGGTAATGGCATTTATGTATTTAGTTGGTTGAAGTTTAAATTTGGCATGCCACTCTTTAGAGTAAAAATAGGGCAAAATGGGCTGTTTTTAAAGTGTCAGTATATTTTAAATCAGCAGTCATTGTGTGTGTGTGTGTGTGTGTGTGTGTGTGTGTGTGTGTGTGCCTTTCACACTTTCTTGTTTGGGAAACAGCTCTTGAATTTGGCCAGTGTAAAGTATCCATAACGCACACAGAGGGTTTGTTTACAAAGATTGTTCTGCCGTTCAAGGTTGAAGGTGAAAAGGTGAAGGTGAGAGTTTGTCTTGGATGTTTGAAGTAATTGATCTCACTTTGAGCTTAGGAGCTATCCATTCCCCCACCGTTTCTCTTTGTTCACAGCATCACCCACGCAATCCAGGCTGACCTGTCTTCTCTAAGGTCACCAGGCTGGAGGTGCTTTCACCAGCCAAACCAGTGAGGTCAATTGGTGTCTGTGTGTGCACGTGTGTGTGTGAGTGACTGAGTATGTGTAAGTGAACGGAGTTAAAGTCCAGGGGGATACCTCTTTTAACCTTTGGTCTACTCTCAGTTTGCGCTGAGGGCTGTTTGAGGCATCAATAAAAACACTGATTAAAGGAATGCATGTGAGAATCTATCTCACATGCTTTCCTCCTTCACTGTGTCACTGAAGGAGGATCATGCTTGAATTTGGTGGGGTGAAGAAAACAGTAGTGTGAGTGGAGACCTGAGTGAGGCAGGCAGACAAACAGAGAGGTCAAGAACCGGATGCACAGAGACACAAGGTCAGCTAGCAATAACTATTAACACTTGTGAATGTCTACTTGGACTTAACTTTAGTAACACATAAGTGTGGCAGAGACTGGAGGGAACAGCCTGGCTAGAAATATTGCAGACTAATGAACCTCAGGTCTGTGGGAGGATTGGCAGCAGGCCGTGTAAATGGCATGCCACACCAAGAACAAACAGCAGACCAAACAAAAGCATTACACACAGCAGCAAATGCAAGTAATGAGGAAAAGGTACAAGGAAAGATCAGGTCATTTACATTTTCTCCAACAGGTCCAATTCAAGGTCACACAGGGTCAGACGATGATTCACACTCAATGTCATTTAAGAGTCACAGATTAAATATTACTTGATAGTTAGATTAAAGTGCGTGTTTTTCCAGCTCACAGCAGTATTTTGAACTGCGTGCTTCACAGTGTATCTAGTCAGGTTAGGTAAATGTGGCCAATCACACAATGCTAGGGGGAGACGTTTGTCTCCAGAGCTTTGTGGCTGATGTGACAGGAGGCAGGTCTGCGATCCCTCCCAGTCAGCTACTGTCTTGAAGCAACATTGGTGCACCAAGACAGCATTAAAATGGCAATAAGACAGAAAATAGATAGATGTGAAACTTCCTCCACAGATAGTGATGTAGTTGCTTCACAACAGCGATTTAACAGCAACTCAGCAATCTTGTTCTTACATGGGAATATAACCAGAATACAAGCAGTTGGCAACCAGTGGAATCGAGTCCTCCAGTGTAAAGAGGCAAGTTTGCACACCTGTAGTTCATTTACTCTGGTCCCAGTAGTCTTTTCATTTCATACATAGTTGCTATCCTGTACAGACCTGTGCACACCTATAGTGCCTTGCTGCATCCCAGAATACAAAGTATTCATGGCTATGGGAAGTTTTTTAGCTATGCTTGCAGCGCATACCTGGTAGTTGGTTCGACTGAAGGTCCGATCATGTTCACATCTTAAACAAAGCGCTCTGGAGTTCGTTTAGAACCGCACCAAGACCACCTCCACCAAAGGGTCTCAGTGCCATTGTTTCGTTCCGCACCCACGTGCGACTACCGTGTTCACATCTGCACAAACAGACTGCACCAACGAGGAAACTAAACCAGAGTTTGATTTAAACTGACTGAATACTCACTCAACCAGGCAACCAGTGCAGTCGCCTTGTGATTACACCCAGAGGTTCACCATGCCTCAACCTCTGGGTCAGCAGTTGGTCCTTGTAACTGCTTTCATTTATCTCAAACAACAAAATAATTCAATGTGATCACCAGGCAACCACCAATTTTTCCTAGTCACAAGGAGGTTGCCATCCCACTTTTACTCTGAGGTCAAGTGAGGTAATAAAGAGCAAAAAGGTTGTGGTGTGAGAAATGTTCAGACACACCATTTTTAAACTTTTAGGTCTAAGAAATGAAAATATTTGAAGATGTTTACCAGTGCTAAGCTTCTGTCACAAAGTTCTGAAGGTAAACTTTATCCCAGTTATGATTTTTTTTTTTCAGCATAATGGTTAAAATAATAAAATACAACTTAAATGCAAAACAGCTCTTACTTATATTCCACCTTGAGTCATTACCAGGAGTAAAAACTGATCAATATGATCAGTTTTTACTCCTGGGTTAAAATTCTGAACTTTACTATGCTGTAATTGTTGAGTAATGTAATGTGATTTCCAGTGTCTGCCAAGAACAGCACTGAGGTTTGTTTAGGCCACCATGACTGAGACTCCTGTAGCTATTAGTGAGTGCCAGCGAGTGTTCACATTCAGGGTCATTTTTTTAATGCTAATTAAAGCTGTGTTCTTGTAGTCATGTATGAGGCTCAGTGACTGTGACAAAAATGAGATCTTGGCTCTACTAATAGTGTGAGAGTATATTTTGTGAACTGATTTATTTTCTAGTCACTTAAACTCATGTATATTGAGGTGCTTTTTATTTAATATTAAGTAGAGCTCACTAACATGAGTTAGAATTTAAAGTGTAGTAATGTGTGTTTCATTAGAGCACAGGCAGTGCTCCCAGCACCTATTATACCTGTCCTATACATGTCATACTGCTGCTCTGCCAGTAACTGTTACTCAGGTATCTTACTGACAGTGTGACTGTTAGGATACTGAATGGGTCTTAATGGGCCAGAGGGCATTAATAATTAGCACAGATTGCATTTAAAGGGATTAAATGTGAAGTGACCTACAACGTGCCCCTCTCAGGTGTAGAAGCTCACTAAAGGATTACCGGCGCACATACACAAACGTGCCATCTGTGAAGAGCACAAATCAGGAAAGGGATTACAGTATCCCTCTGGAGGGCTCCATATGAGGACAGAAATGCTTAGAGATGCACACAGGAAAAAGCAAAACCCACAATTACAGGGAGTTTGCAGTAATCCTTAGTGTTTTAAAGGAAGCCCCATTAGAATACGGTGGCTTTTTACAGTAAATGTGCTAAATGCGTCCTCTGTGCTACCTTGAAATCCCAGTTGAATATATTCAGCATCTTCCTGGTTAAGATTTGCTTTTATGATAAAGCCTCTCATCAAACTAGATAATTCATATGTCATATTTCATTACCAGTGCTGTCTTGCTGCTTTCATACTTTTTTCTCCCCCTGGCAGTGCCTACACAGAGCCTTTCCCAATGAACCCCGTCTCTGCTGGGCTGTCAGCGGATGAGGACCACGGGCGTACCTCTGAGGAGGAAGAGGGGGCAGTAGAGCAGGGTTATGAACGACAGGTGAGTGGTGGTGGGATGTGAAAACGAGTGAAAGCGAGAGAGAAAGTGGTTTATTTAGCCCCATGACCGGCTAATTGGTTTAGTAGCTCTAGATGAAAAGCTGAAGTCCTGCTTTATTTTGTTGACAGTGCTAGATTTGAATTATCAGACCTTTGACAAAAGTAAAAACGAAAAATGAGGGGTAAACAATTTCTGTATAGTAGAAAACAGACATTTTACAGTAGCTCAAAGATGGACCCCACCCATCCTGCTGCTATCACAATTGCATCAGCCCCCTGCTCTCGTTATGTGACATTCATTTCCTTGTTCTCCCTTTCTTCAAAGAAAAGCCACAATAAATGAGAAGAGAATGCAACGAGGAAAAAAGTGAGGTTTTAGTTGTTGGCCCCAGGAACAGATTCATTTAATTGCATTTTGTTTTGGTTTTATTTCAAGGAAATGAGGATCGTGTGACTTTAATGCAGTATTTGTGAAATGCAGCACATAGGAACAAAAATAAGGCCGACAAGCACAGGAGCTGTACCGGTAAATCCCTAAAAGTCTCCGGTGTTATGCTTTGGCTCGGATGTTTTGTAGCCCTTTGATTAGCTTCTAAATCAATGGGCAGCACTGTTGTCACCACACACACACACACACACACACACACACACACACACACACACACAGAGGCTCTCATACATAATGCATCTCAATTTAAAAGTTACATATTTTCAGGAAACCTTCACGTCTGCGCTGCAGCATAATGAAATAATCAGTCTTATTTTGACAGCAAGAATCTACAAAAAAGTGGATCTGAGTTTTTGTCGGGCTCCTCGTCTGCTGCGTGGCTTGGCTGCGCATTAGCGTTCGAGAGCAGTAAGTGTCCACAGAGAGCCTTTAAACATGCACCGTGTTCATTCGTCTCCCGCCGTTCTCCCTCCCTGTCACGCAGATTGATGGCCGATCCCGAGCGTTCTACATCGCCAAAGAGCTCGTCGACTCAGAGAGACTGTGAGTTGCCCGCACTTGTGGATTCCTCCAATTTGAGCCACATCTCTTCCACGTCATCACAAGCATCGTCCTCTATCGACATCTAATTTATTTTTTAATACAATATTGTTATTTTTATGCCCCCACCCCCCGTTTTGCTCTCCATTTCCATCCAACTGCATCCCCGCCTTCTTCTCCCTCGTTCATCAAGCTGCATGCAGAGTAACTGACAGCCAATTACACAAGTGTCTTTCACCAGTCTCGCTCCTGCCCTGCTGCCCACTTAACCATTCCACTGATGTAGTTTTTCCATCATGCATAATTTAAATAATTAAATGAGTCCCATGGAAAAAAAAGAACTTAGTTGTGTAGAAGGTTGTAAATTCCTCCCCACAGTTTAATTAGATCTAATGCTCCTCTTCTCTTCTTGTTTTCAGACACATCAGCGGCCTGAAGCACCTTCAGGAGGTAAGAGGACATTCACCAGCACACGCCACAAAAGTGTCACACAGGCTTAAAATCTCTCCTGCTTGAAGGCCTATTAAACTGTCTTGATAACATCATATCCTGTGTGTCTGCTCCCCAGTCTCTGTCTCCTTTTTCTCACTCCCTCACCCCCCTCCACCTTTGTATGGGTCCGTTCAGGTTTATCAGTGTTGTTGCAGCAAGATCTACTTCCTGGTTCTGACAAAGTTGACATGTAGTACTCTGGCGTGGTCAGTTGTAAGATGACGCAGCGTTCCTAATGATGCCGTCCTTGCGTCCTTACTCATCTGACACTGTGTGCGTGCACATCCCCACCCTCGAATGGCAATCTGCCACCCGAAGGTCACGAAAAAAAACAAAAAAACAAAGCAGGAGGGTCCTTTTTTATATTTTGCGCGCACCTCAAGTTCCTCGTGACCGTGTTGTGTCATCCAGTGGAGAATTTCCCTCTCATTAGAGGAACAAGTAAAGTTATTGTTGGACAGAGGATTTGAAAGTGAGCCGTGATGAGCCAGAGGGCAGCCACGCATCGCAGCCAACTGTTGTCACCTCTTCCCATCGTTTCTCACTCACTGCCTGTCATAACAAGAGCACATCCCCGCAGAGGTACAAACAAAGAAGGATATTTGACACCTAAAATGACCTTTAGTGACAACTTTTATTTAATTCACTTTTTTTTTTTAAAGAACTCGTGCATTAGAAGTGAAAACACGGTGTGGAGAAGTGGCTATTAAGGTGATGGTTGCCAGTACAAATCTGACAGGCAGAGTCATTGAAGCCGGGGAAGCCCATCAGTCAGCCTGTACCTTCTAACCTTGAATAAGGTCATAACCTGAATTTCTTATGTGTGGCCCTTCACCATGATTTATGAACGCCTGCCGTGAGTGCACCGTAGCAGCTTTGCGTAATGGCTAATTTGATGCCATTAAACAGCAACTAATATAAATATTATGCAATGGGCCCAACTCATTATCATATATCTGCAGTCTCATCATGATCTTCAGTCATACTAATTAGCAGGATGTGTGGCAAAGTGCAGGCAGAGACATATGCTGGACATCAGTGCATCAGCGATGAGACGTTTCAGCAAGTAATTAATGAACATTTTTCTTCTATGTAAATTATTATTATGTTACCAGAAATTGCCATTTAATAGACACCGAGTAACCTCGCATTCCTCCTCAGTGTCACCACACCACCTTTTCTGACAACTTTCAGAGGTGACATTGAGGCTTTTCAGGTTTTTAATCATGCATTTGCATAATGCATGGGGGTGTTGTTATTCTTCAGACTTCAGAAATGTGGTCTTTTGAGATATCAGTCACTGTTTTTATGCAGGCTGATCTCATAATTAGAATGAAACAGAGATATTCCAGCCGCGGAACGCTCCAGCGGCACAACATGTACAAACACACAGTCTGGGAAAAAAAACAAGGCGCAGCGTAAAGTGAGAGGCACATGAGCTATTGTTCCATTGTTTGATAAGGAATAACAAGAACACAAAGAATTTCCAGGACCGTGCCTCCACATAGGAAGGGAGGCTGTGCTCCTCTTCTATGACTTTCCCCCATAACTGCTTCAGCATATGAAGCCCGGGCTTATTATTATTATCATTATTTTTATATTTTTTTTCTCATTTATGACCTGCTGACCTCTGAACAGATTCTCTGTGCCGAATTATCACCAAGCATGACTGGCTGCTCAGCCGAGTGCTTAACGTGGTGCTTGTTGACCTGCTTTACGTGAGGAAAATTGAGAGAAGGTTGCAAGTTAATGGGCAACAAAACAAACAAAAAAAAAAGCTGGTTAAAGCTCATTCATCCATGGATCTGAGGGAGGGTGTCTGTGTTTGTGTGCGTGTAGAGGAATTTGACCTGAACCGTAAAAGCAGGTGTGAGAAGTGATGAATGTTAACTCGCACCAAGATCGATTGTGTGTGATGGACGGCGTGAAGCGAAGCGCCCGGTGTCACCACGTTATCAGACGGGTCTGTGGGACATCTCTGTTTGTTTTATGGCTGCGCTTTACCCAGAACAGGAATTGATGCACTTCTACCTCACAGACTCACCTCACCTTTATAAACAGTAGTTTCACACAAAGCTTTGCTTATGAAGGAAACTGATATTTTTTAACCAGTGTTGGCAGCTCCAAATGACTCACCTACTTATTCGCTGAGTAGATAAATTACCTCTGATCTTGGTTTTCCCTGCCATAACTCCTCATATTCATCCTTTTAGTCACTGACGCCGCAGCTATAACTACATATTGCACATTATTTATGTGAGCGAATGGATTTAAGGGACCCTAATTCACTGTATATTAGTGTACACTTAGAAATTAAAAGCTATGAACTATGTACAGAATAAGAGTGTATCATTAAGTAAGGTCATTACGCAACAGCACCTGGATCACAGCTCTTGTGCAAGCAAGGCCACTTTTCCTGAATGCCTGGACAAAGACCAAAGTAATGAGATGATACGAGGAGAGGGCAGCAGGAAGGATGTTAAGGAGGATCTGACCTTCCTTCCATTTTTCTCCTGGTTCCTCATTCCTCTGTACCTTTCATTTCTCCTGCCTATTCACACCCCTTCCCCCCAACCACCTACTTCCTTCTTCAAGCCTCTCGACAAATTCCTCCATTTCTGTAAAATAGTCTGATGTCAGATGTCTATTCATATTAATGTACAGAATTCACCTGCTTGCTGCTACTACTGCACATTCATCCAATGTATATACTATATATATATATATATATATATATATATATATATATATATATATATAATGTTCTTCCTCTACCCCCCCCCCCCCCCCCCCCCCCCCCCCCCCCACACACACACACACACACACAATTTTTGCACATGTCGAGGAGCGTGTCAGGTTACATTTCACTGTGTGTTATACTTGTATAACTATGCATGTGACAAATAATGAACCTTGAACCTTGAACCTTTTTCCCCCTTTTGCTCCATACATTTGTCTTCTTAAATAAAAGAACAACAACTAAAAAACGCTCTTCTCACTAATCCTGTTTTCCCTCTCTTATGCAGGACTTTAGGTCAGCAGTGACTGAGGCGGTGGATGAGGAAGGAGAGCCAGTGCTGGAGGAGCAGAGGCTGGGGGAAATACTGGGAGTGCTGCCTGAGGTGTACACCCTGCACAGCAGCATCTTTACTGAGCTGGAAGAGCGTATTAGTCAATGGTAAGAAGAGAGAAACTGTAGAAACTTTTACAGTCGTGTTAATTTACTGTCCACTGAGACTCTAATAATCACTCTGAAACATTCAAACACCACTCAGGCCTCTGGCCTCTGGGCCTGCGGCTCGGTTCACTCTGGCACAGCTGGTGCCGGCAGAGCCGGCGGGCACGCCGGTGCAGCCCCCTCTAGCTTCTGCTCGGTGGCTACTGGGTGACGCCTCCTTGGGCTCTCGCACTCTGGGGCCTCTGGATGTCTGGGGCCTGGATCTCCTCCATGCCTGCTTCATGCCCTGGGGGACAGGGCTATGGCTCTCTACATCCTCTTGCAGACCATTACATGTGGAAACCATTTGAATACAAGCGCGCTGATCCACATAGGTGTGCACACGCGTGTTCACTGTTCGTAGACTTAAATTACACCTTTCTTGGCTGCTACTTCAAAGCACATTGTGCGCTGTCTGTCCTGCGTGCTGCACAACAACATTGAATATTTAGTATTTACTGCTGTTTACACTTAGCTAGATTAATGCGATGGTGTTGTGTTTAGTATGTTGCTTTGGGTTTTTTTTGCTTGTTTTCTATTCTTTTTCTCTCAACAGGTGATCCAGGAGATTCCCCCCCCCCCCCCCCCCCTTTCTCACTGTCCCTCTCCCCTTCTGTTTTTCTTTTCCTTCCTCTTTCTTTCTCCCTTTCCTATCTCTCACTCATGTCTGTCCCGTCTGTAACAACTGAAAATAAAATAAAAGAAATAATAAAAACAAAGGTCGATCAAATGGACCAACACGGCAATGCCACGATGATCCATTTGGCAAAATAAATCCATTGGGTATCCTTGTTGGTCTTCAGACAACAATTCTGATGGCTAAAGAACCAAATGGGACAGGCAAAAAATAAAAAAAATAAAAAAAACACCACTCTAAAAGGCCAGTTATAATCGTTTCATTACAGAGGGGTTCTTCCTCAACCAAAGGTAGCACCTGTTACCTGCTGCTAAGCATAGATCTATGCTCTTCTACGGTCTGCTGCATCCTGATTTCTGGAAAAAAAACTCCATTAATTTCTTTAGCCAAGATGGAAAGAGCGATGATGGGCTCATGTTGATACACTAAATTTAAGCTGCAACTACAACGGATATATTAATTGCTCATTAAAGGTTCTCAAACATCCCGATGAGAAATGTGTGGCTTGAGTAACTGAAGCGTTCCTGGAATAAAGTTCATGTCGAGTTGGAGCTCAGCTGACAGACTTCGGATGTTTGTGTGGGACTCTTTCTTTAACAAGAAAATGACTTGGAGTGATTAAAGAGCATGCACTTAATCGCTGATTTTATCCACTGTGAAGGGAGGAGAGTCCAAAAGTTGCAGATGTGATCTTGTCACGTCGGGACAACTTCAGCGCGTTTGACACCTACATCTCCGAGTACGACCGCAGCATGTCTTTGCTCGAGGAGAGCTGCAGGAAAAACCCGGCTTTCGCCAAAATCGTCAAGACGTTTGAGGTAAGACACTGAACAGACTGACTAAAATGCATACACATAGTAAAGACAGCTCTTTGTCGTGCTTCCTGCCAACTTTCTCTTTCTGTTGCAATTTTTCCTTTGTTTTCTTGTTTCTGCAAGCTTGGGTTCAGAAAAATGATCCCATCCATCCATCCATTCGCTTCCGCTTATCCTTTTCAGGGTCGCGGGGGGGCTGGAGCCTATCCCAGCTGTCTTAGGGCGAGAAGCAGGGTACAACCTGGACAGGTCTCCAGTCTGTCGCAGGGCTAACACATAGACAACCATTCGCGCTCACATTTACACCTATGGGCAGTTTAGCGTTTTTCAATTAACCTATCCCCACTAAGTGCATGTCTATGGACTGTGGGAGGAAGCCGGAGCACCCAGGGAGAACCCACGCAAACACGGGGAGAACATACAAACTCCACACAGAAAACCCTGGCCTGATGGTGGAATTGAACTCACTGAACTTCTTGCTGTGAGGCAACAGTGCTAACCACCTTGTCACCGTGCTGCCTTCACTAAAAATGATCCAGTATTTTTTTTTAAAACATAAACAAAAGTAAAATCTCAGGTTTACTTTAAATATTCATGGAGGGAAAGTAAATCAGGGTGCAGAAATCAAACCTAGTGTTTCCCCTGGTGCTTACTTTACAGCTCTCTGCTTTTATTTTTGTCACCCAGCTTCCACAGGGAGACGCTGGCCTTTCTAAACCCCCTCTATCCCCTCTCTTTTTCATCTAACTGACCTTTCTGCTGCCATGCTCGCATATTCTATACCCACTCCACAGCAAATACTCACTGTTTTGCCAGCGTGTCTCTTCATCCAGGAGGTTGGATTTGGGTGAAGGGATCAGCAAAGGCTCAGTCTAATAGGATCTGTGGTCTAATTTCATCACTGTTTTCAAAAAATTGTACGCATGGTCCGCTTAATAATCCTTACTTTGTGCTCCTGCTGAATATGAACATGTACAGCTTGAGCGGGTAACAACCATGACTGACATATTTTGAGTAAGACGCAGTATATTAAGAAAGCATATAGATAAACCCACATACACAGCATTCAAATGATTGAGTCTTTATATAAGCCTCATCTGCCTCTGGTTTCATCAGAGTACAGATCATTAGAAAGCACTGCCTCATGTTACCTATTCAGCTCAGCTCCTCTGTAACCAAATGCATGCGTCACCAGCTCCATGCCGTGTGCTGATTCGCCATGAGTGCCTGACACAATGCTTCCGAGCATTTGTGGTTTGATAAGAAAAATGAATGGACAAGGCACCAACTGTCTTCGCTCATGAATATTCAACAGCAGCTGCCTCTTCCCAGAAAGAAAAACTTTGGCTCTGTCCGATCAAATATAAATAGGGGGGAGCGAAGTTGAGAAATGACTCGCAGCCACGGACAGTAAACACCGACCTTTCGTAATCTTGCGACATGTTTCCACACTTGGACAAGCTCGGCTCTAAATATCCTTGATCAAAGTCAATTACGTGCCTCAACATGAAGGGGCTATAAGCTCCTTTTCTCACATCGTAAACTGCTGCTTACCCGGAATATATGCCGTGAATGGCTTGATTGGTCTGAATGATTTATGTGGGGTTGGCCTTACATCTCCGAAAGTATCACCCGGAGTGGCAGTCGCTATTAAATTCTCCTGGGAGGATCGCTCCAGCTGTCACTGTATATTCAACCTGCATTTACTTTTCCCTTATTACATATAAGCATGTAACCTGGAGTCTGTCCTTCCCACAGTCCCACACCAGGGCATTATGTGTGGGTGATGAATGCTGTGCTGTACCAAAGGACTGCTTTGGGAGTTACATGGTGATTGTGACCCCACTGTAATCAGGAGGAAAGAGGGCTGAGGGAGAGCAAAGACAATCATACAGGCACACTGTACCTGCTCCTGCTCCTGAGAGATGCTGTGTTGTTGTTTAATACTGGTTGTGTGGCACATCTCAAGTCATTATACCTACAAAAAAGCACAAGCATTGACTTGGGTAATTGTACTCACAGCTTGCTGTTCTTTTTTCTGCATTTAAAAATAGTCAATCTTCATTAGATCTGGCTATTTTCAGTGCTTACCTCCCCTCAACACCTCCGTTTCCTTTTTTCCACTCTCCCGGCCAGTTGCTTTTTTAATGCCACAAGCCAAAGTGCTGCAGCATAAGTGCTAGCAATTTCATTGTGGATGTGGTGATGACAGTGATAAAGTAGCCACAGACCCTGATCAGATCACTGCTCGACCCTTACAGGATTACAGTCTCCTCTGGACGGCCAGTGTTGCTCGTTTACCACGTGAGCCAACACAGCGTGGTGTGCTTGTGTGTTACCCATTACCTCTGTTACCAATTCATTTGTGTCCCTTCATGTGTGTGTCTGATTGTCTTTGCAGGGCGATTGTCATTCACAAATTGCATGGATGTCATTCAACTGCAAACACTTCAGAAATCTCCTTCCACAGCACTTCGGGTTGGATTAGTATTCATGCGGTAGCGTAGATGTGTGTAAACGCTGCGTGTTTCCTCCTGTGCCAGAAGCCTAGGGGGACAGTGGGAGGCTGTGCAGCAGGTGGACAGAGAGCGATAGGGGGAAGAGAGAGCGATGGAGTGAAATCCTTGTAAAGGCAGCTGGGCAATGAGGCAGACAGAAGCTAATTAGAGCCACAGCCTCCTTTACAACTCCCCAATTAGATCAGTTCTGTGTGCAGGCAGCAAATCAGCTGGCCGTGACAGAGTGTGAGAGGTGTGGGGCTTCTTTTTTTTATCTCTGCGTTTCTGTGGAGGTGTTTATTTGCCAGCACAATGCATCGCACATTCGCTCCTCTCTCCCCCTTCGTTTGGTCTCACCCAAACAAACTGCAGGCTAATTACCATCTCTCGAAAGCTACTTCCTCTTTACAAGTGTCAATTGGATGACAATTTACAAGCAACACTTGAGTGGAGCGGATGCTCTGAAAACAGAATGGAGAGCTAGTTATTATTGTTCTCAATGCATCATGCAGTGATCAGTGGGAGAGGAGGAAAGAAGGAAGACAGAAAAGTAAAGGCTGAAGCTGAGGGGTAAAAAAAACCAACCACACCTTCATACACGGAAACCTTAGGAGTAGGTGAGTGGACGTCACTAGAAGAGGCCTCAGCTTTCTGTTACTTTTTGACTCCTGCAATTCAGATAATGAAGACAAAGAGGTGTGTTTAAGTCATATCGCATCCCTCCCCTTTTAGAGCCCCAATCAGCGTTATCTCATCACCAACCACGGCCTGGGTGTACGTGGGAAGGGATCCATCATTTGCACACTGCACGCACGTGTGAATGCGTCTGAAATTGGATGATAGAGCTGGTGTTTGTGTCTGCGTGGGCTCCTGTGTGTGCACGAGTGTGTATGCGTTTGTGTGGTGTAAATAAGATGAAGATGCTGTTTCCCGCAGGGTGCTATCTGTGCCTCGCTAATGAAGGATGGGACTTCATTGGATTAGAAAAAAAACTCTGTGTGTGTGTGTGTGTGTGTGTGTGTGTGTGTGTGTGTGTGTGTGTGTGTGTGTGTGTACACAGACAGTACACAGACCCCCACTGCTTCTCCACCGCTTAGGGCATAAATACCTGTCAGAGACAATTAGATCCTGATTGATTTTCTAAAGCTCTCTCTGATTGTGCCACTTTTTGTCCCCTTTCACCTGCAAATGACTGCACCGAGCAGAAGAATGGGAGTCGCTTCAGGTTTTTATACACTGGTGGAAAAGATGTTTTAAGGTCATCCTGTCCCATAGGTTTCCTTTGGTCACTTGTGCCCTTGACTTGCAACACTGACTAATAGTGGTTAACCTTATTTGGGAGCCAGAGAAGCGGCTCTTTGTGTGTAGCTCAGGGGCACCGTTGCACTCTTATGTGGGTGAGATCTTTTGTGGGAGAAGGTATTTAATTTCACAATAATTTTGTTCTGCGGAAATAATATGTCTGCAGTGTACAATTCAACAAATGACCCCTAATAAAAACTTTTCCATGTAGACTAGTCATGGATGATCTTTTACAAGCCTCTAAAATTTCCAATATGTGTGTGTGTGTCTGTGCAGACAAGAAGCCCAGAAGAAGCAGAAGTCCCACTGAAACACCAGCTGCTGCAGGTTATAGTGAGAGTGCTTCAATACCGCATGCTACTCACAGGTAACACATAAACGCACATATGCACATATTTAATTGTAAGACAAAGTGTTATTTATGCTTAACATGAGCTGTTGTTTCCACTTGGAGCAATTATGTGGCAGCTTAACCAGCCAGGTTTGCTGACATCAGCTAACAGTAGCCACTCAGCATAGTATTGTGCATCCCAGGAGTTATACTGGGCTGGGGCTGTCTGGGGTCCACCACTCATTTTCAACAGTGTGTATTTTTGCAAAAGTTGGACTTAAAGATACAGTTTCATTTGTACCACTAGTTATGGCCAGACAACTGTAGATGCTTCACACCTGCAAATTCAGATTTAACCTTGTTTTACCTTGTCTTGTTTTCATATCTTCTCTCTGATTTCTCCAGATTACCTGAACAACCTCTCTCCTGATTCCAAAGAATACGAGGACACTCAGGGTAAATCTGCATGCTTTGTGCTGACACACGCGTGCACACTTGCACGCAGCTGTATCGGTGCCTGGCTGTTGTGTCAGAGCCAATGAGACGGTTCCAAGTTCCAACACTCTCTCTTTTTCTTTCTCTGTTTGTGTTGCAGCTGCCTTGGTGATTGTGTCCGAGGTAGCCGACCAGGCCAACGACAATCTGAAACAGGGGGTGAGTCTCTGAGTCAGGATACACCCCGCGAGTTTACATTCAGACTGTGTAGCCCCTGTTGAGTTTGACATATTCACAGCTCACCGTTGCAGTTGCTGTGTCTTTATTCTGCGTGGCAATGAAAGAACAATTTTCAAGCGTGACAAGATTAGACAGCTGAGGTTTTTCTCCCACGTGAATCCTTCTTCCAAACGACTTGCAGGAGTGAAGGGGAGCTCTGTTCCTCTTTTTTTGGCATTTAGCTTGTTGATTTACGCAAGAGGCAAGGAAAGATGATGTCATCAGAAAGTCCCAGGTGGTTATTACAAAGGGAGCAGTGTAAAGGGTGAATATGACCCCCCCACCCTCACACACACACACACACACACACACTATCTCTTCATGGAGATAATTATAAGGGAGGGAATGGTTTGTGAATGAACTGGCAACCCCACCTCACTGCTGAGCTCCCATGTGGCTCTTTGGCTTACCTCCTGTGTTTATCACACTTTTTTTCTCATTTGTGCACAAGCCCTGACACACGCACATACACACAGAGACTGACAGACGGTGGTAGCACATCTCTCTTTGGGCATGAAAGGGAGGGAGTCGGAAAGGGATGTGATACTAAAAATGTGAGGGATGGCAGACACAGAGAAACAGGGATGGTTCAGTTCTTTGTCTTCTCTTCCATCAATCACTAGATAATCTCTCTCTCGCTAACTTCCTGCTTCTCTTCTTCTGCAGGAAAACTTGTTGCGTCTGGTCCACATTGAATACAGCGTGAAAGGGAAGAGGGACCTTCTGAAACCTGGAAGGGTGAGCATCGTGTGGTTCTGTCTGACAGCGTTACTGCTGCACTGTCAAAAACAAAGCAACACCAAAATCTGAATGCCAGATCTCTGAGGTCACTTTGAAAGCATAAAAAAGACTGGTCATGACCCCCCCACCCTTGTAAGGATTAGTTAACAACATTACATCAACCTAACATGCAAAGCTTTTATACTGTTTCTTTTGGCAGATGTTTGTCAAAGAGGGCACACTCATGAAGGTCTCCAGGAAAAGTAGGCAACCTCGGCACCTGTTTCTGGTAATGGCATTACATCGGACACTACTGGTGTTAAAGCTTAAAAGTATTTCACTATTTTGTTTCTTCAGTAGTTTGAAATGGTCTAATATTAGCTGTGATTAGCCTAGCTTATCTTTAAAAAAGGCTAATCATAGGAAAGATTAAAGGAAATGTGGTGGACAAACTGTGCAATGTAAACACTCGTAACATGGTGGAAGGTTGTTTCTCCCATCTCTTCTTTTTATGTATTAGCCTTATTAACCTTTGCTCAAAGACTGGTAAATATCTAATATCAGCCAATAGTTTTACCTCACCAATAAATCAGTTGGGTGCCAATCTTTGTTCAAAGTAGCGTATTTAATATTTATCCTGAGTGACTTAATCAAACATTTGGCTATAGCTTGACCTTTCTTTCAAGTGCTTTTTGCATTATTTCACACACGTTTACCAAAACAAAGCCTCGTGATTTCAGTATCTTTGGAAAGTGCCATCTCAGTTAGAGTTCAAAAGAAACTCGTGTGGTTTTAAGCAAGGTGTGGATGGACAGCACGAGGACAGAAAACACCTGCAGTGTTATTTAGGTAATGTTAAAATGAATGCTGGCGTGGTCTGCAGAAAATGTGGAGGAATGTTGGACAGGGTTGTGCCACAAGTTAGGTGAGGTTTTGGGGAAGGGTGGGGGGCACAAGGCCAAGGCTGTAAGACCTCGACTAAACACCACACCCATCTAGCCAAGGGCCTCCCTCTCCACTCTCCTCCTCCCCCCTCCTCCCCTCCCAGGACTTGTTTTCCAGGGCCCCACTTCCTTACAGGATGTTTGGTGTGGGTCACTGGATGCTGACTTCCTGTGTATTGGGAGGGGACTGACAGCGAAGTGAAGGCCAGACACCCTGTAGAATGCAGGGAGGAGGGGTGGTGGTGCTACACAAACACATAATGTGAAATAGAGAAGTCCCATCTATTGTTTCATGTGCAATCAGTGCTGTCTCATGTTATGAATTTCCATGGGCAGCATATTTGCCATAGAGTGTTCCAGGTAGCATGTAACATTTGAGACACTCAGGATTCATTTTGTTCTCTTCCATCAGTCTCTTGCTGTTTTTAAACTGATAAGCTCTAGCTTGAAAATGTTAGTGGTTGATACTTGTAGGCTATTAGGACTATAAAGCTATTTGCTCCCTTGAAGCCAACAGCTCCAGAGGTTCAGGTGTTATTAATGGGAAACTGAAATACAAACGGCGCCGATGAAAGCAATCAACCACCTCTGTGACAGAGAGAAGCAGCACCCATGTCACAAGCCAGGGCTCACAAAAGAAAGAAAAGCAGGCTGAGTGAGTGAGAGGAGGGATTAAGAGGGAGGATGGAGATCTAGAGAGATGTCAGAGGGAAAGAGTAAAAGGGGCAGGTAAAGGAGGTGATGCTTTTAGGGAAGGAGATGAAATGCCACTGTCGAAAAAAGTAAATGTCTTGGTTGCTCAAGTGGATATAATTTGCGTCTCGTGGGTCATGTCTGTGAAATCTGTTAACTTGGCGCTTGCTTGGATTTCTGTGGAATGAGTAAATGAGTAGTGCAGGGTGGAGCAGAAGAGCTGCGGCGGCTCGAGCACAGAGGTCGTAGGCAGGGCTCGGGCTTGGCTATCATGCAGTGTTTTGTCTCCAGCCAGTCGTCCAATGAAATGCGTTACTGCTGCTGTTAGTGTTGTTGTTGTGGTGAAGGAGGCCAGTTCCACCCAGCTCTGGTTCTCAGCGTAGCCTAAGAAGGCTGTGAAGGCGAGGGGAGGCCCGGAGTCCAGAGCAGGGTGGAGAATTCCTGGATGCTGCTTATAAGGCCCCAGCGGATGTTTAGAGCACACATAAGGTGTGACCGATGATGTCATTTCTTTTGTCTGTGTTGTGAGAACACAATAGACTCTTGGTGAATTCAGGGGATTCAAATACCTCAGGTTTGACAGGAAAATAAACATTTTCCTTACAGTAATGCCTAATTTTGTTGTGTGCATACATGGGAATTCTGTGCTGACAGGATGCACAGAGGTGAGTGTGCTGTGAAAACACAGCCTAGTACTTAACCAGCTCTACCCTCGGTGCTGTTTTGGGCAGCTGTGGTGCTTAAGTTCATATAACACTACCACCTTGTGTTAGCAGGTGATATTACATCCGAGGTAAATAATTTTCTCATCAGGAGAAGAAACTGTAAAAATCTACAACGAATCAAAAGTTTAGTCAACAAATAAATCAGTTAATAAAAAATACTATGAATTAATTTATTGTTTCTCTTTTTTTTTTGTTGTTTTTTAAATGTTGGCAGTTTCAGTAAATGTTGTGAGAATAAGCCATCATATCTCAAATAGTGAAATCTTTCTATACCTCTTATATTTTCTTTCCTTTTTCTCCTTCAGATGAACGACATAATGCTGTACACCTACCCTCAGCAGGATGGGAAATACAGGCTCAAGAACACACTGTCTCTGTCAGGGATGAAGGTACATGAACTTTTCCAAGTTTCATAAACACGTTTTGCTTTTTTGCTTTTTACTGCACTGTGATCTGGTCTTGTTTGTCACACACAGGTGAGCAAACCCACGCTGGGCAATGTGCTGAACTGTCTTAAGATTGAGGTGTCCGACATCACTATTACACTCTCTGCCAGGTGAGCCGCTGACATTCAGAACTCTGATGTGAACAATGGCTGTCGTTTCCAAAGAAATCTACACATTCAGTCAGGCACATCAGGGGCATCAGGTGTGTTGTATTTCTGTATTTCTCTTCAGTTCTGTTGGAGAAAGGGAGGACTGGTTCCACACGCTAAGTCGAGCCATAGCGGACCACGCGGCGGGACTCTGCACATTTGGCGGGCCCTGCAGTGAGGTAGGAAAAATAACTTCAGTGTAACACAATACGATTTGTCATAGAAGAGAACTTTCATCTGAGTCATTGTAAGAAAGGGTGCAGAATTAGCTAAGAGAAGGGTTTGATGATTCACTTTTTAAATAAATTACCATTTATAAGCCCTGTCTACTTATTATTGCTGGCAATAACTTGCAGTTCAACTCCTATGATATGTATTTGTCAGAAGATTCAATAAACTCTCTCAGCTTTGAAAACAAAAAGACTTTTCTGGCAATTATTTTGTGGTTCGGGCTTTACAGGGTTAAGAGTTGAATTCTGAAAAAGCGAGCTTTATTCGTGCTGTAACATCTCAACATCGCTGTCCAATCAGGCCCGTGAGAAATTGTGGATGGCGCTGGGCGAGGCTGCACCTGTCCTCGTGCCAGTTTCTCATGTGATGATGTGCATGAACTGCACCTCCGACTTCAGCCTCACTCTCAGACGACACCACTGCAATGCGTGTGGCAAGGTCAGACCCAAAGTTTGCTCTCACTCGAACGTGGTTGGCGTTTAGCTGTAAACTTGTTTGGGGATATTGGGGACATAATCTTACCATACTTTACCGTTACTTTGGAGATTTTCACTGTAGATGTATCACGATGTCACTGATGTGTCCGCACAGGTGGTGTGCCGGGCTTGTTCCAGAAACAGATATCCTCTGAAGTACCTCAAAGACAGACTGGCTAAAGTGTGCGATCACTGTTATGCCGAGCTCAGGAAAAGAGGTGAAGCTTAGCTTTCCTGGTGCCTGTTTCAAAACTCACTGTACAATGTAAACCTTATTATTTCCAGTTGTTTACCTCGATAAGGAAATGAGTTTGCATTTGCCTGCAGGTGGAAGTGTGTCAGCTGCCTGTGATAACTCCAGCCCTCGGACTCACCGGGCCAGTCGTCCCCTCTCCGCTGTCTTCCAGAGTCTGCAGCCGCCTAGTCTGTGGAAGTCCCGAAAGAGCATATCCCCTCTGACCCAGGTGAACTACTCGCTGCCTGTTATCTCTACCCTTTTTTCAAACCCTGATAACTATTTTATAAGCAAGAGAGTATTGCTTCTTATTACCAAAGTAACACGGACCACTGTGATATTTAGGCAAACCTTGTAAAAACATTCATATCCCACATACTCTTGTATTATTGGGGAAAGTAAAGATTATTCCCTGACCGGGAATCGAACCCGGGCCGCGGCGGTGAGAGCGCCGAATCCTAACCACTAGACCACCAGGGAGCTGTGTGAATGGAAGATGTCTGTGTGTACTGGCATCACTGGAATCTAGTCCAGCTGCTTCCTGCAGTGCACAGAAATTGCCACTAGGGTTCACACTACTTTGTACCCTTTCATTTGTCTTTACAGCTGCAACAAACAGCTGACTCATCATCCCTGTTATTAGAGTTTCTGAATGTCTAATAAATTACAATTATCTGCAGGTGTCACTTGGTGTGGAGGGCTCCACCATGAGTGGGAGTTTGCAGCGCAGGAAGAAGAGCAAAAGGAAGTGGAAGCGACTGTGGTTCCTCCTCAAAGACAAGGTGCTCTACACCTTCACAGCCAGTGAGGTGAGGGGGCACAGAGTCTCCCACACCAGCCCCAAACACATTCACACATTCTTATTGCCTTTATCCAGCTCTTCTCGAGTGCATGACAGCTATTTAACTACATATCCACTTCTTTAACTTTTTCAGCCTCATGAGCAGAACACTTATTGACTAATAAAGGGAATCTCTGTGCTCTCTCTCTCTCCCTCTCTCTCTCTCTGTTTCTTTTGTCTTTTGTTTTCCTCAAAGCACGAGCAACTTATTAAGTTGTTGTTGCTGCTGACGGCCAGATTGGCATTTTTAACTTGTGCCTGCTTCCTTCAGGATAAAGTGGCTTCAGAGAGTCTGCCTCTGCAGGGCTTCACCGTCAAGCTGACTGAGAGGCCAGAGGGAGAAGAAAGCAGTAACGTATTCCATTTGTACCACAAGAAAACACTCTACTACACCTTCAAAGCAGATGATCAAAACACTGCTCGCAGGTCAGTGCAAAAGCTTTTACAAGCACATTCATGGAGTGTCTTTTAAAAGCACATTCTCTGACTAGCAATCATAGCCAGACTACAGCAACAAGAGCTCTAAATCTTAATCACTGGACCACCAGGGAGCTGTAGCAAGGCATGTGTGGTATGTTAGACAGCAGGCAGTGAGCAGCTGATCTCCTGCAGTGCAGCATAATGTACTCTCCATGCATTCTCGCTTTCTCGTGTAAGATTGCTGCACTGACCGTTAACAAGTCTCCTGTCTTCTCTTAATGTTTGCACTCGTTTATCTGCATTTATGTCCTCTATTGCTGATCTGTTTTGGTAGAATGTGTGACTCAGTGAAGGCTGACAGCAAGCTTATTAATGCACTTTTTGTTTTAATAAATACGTGGCAGTTTGCAGCATCCCCATTTTACTGGCAAAGAGTGGAGGTGGCAGGCTGTGTTTGTTAAAGTGGATTCGTTTCTCTTCCAACTGACTTTGAGATTTACAAAAGGCATCAATTATTATAATGGGCCATGACAATTTATTTGAATTCACTTGTTACTTACTGTCAGCCCTGTTTTGTAGGTTGTCGGGTTTTTTTGCTTGTAAAAACAGTTCAAAAGAGTGCATATATATTTATTTTTGAAAAGTATTTGAGCAGGAGGTCTTCCAAGATTTAAACTGGATTCCTTTGAGGGGCTCCTGGGATGGGATGACATAAAAAGAAAAATAACTCCAAGGCACTTTCTTTTAAATATCAAATAAAATGGATTCATTCTCACGGCGCTCCGTGAAATCTGTTCTGACTCCCTAACGAAGATTTGCATCCTTTTTTTTTTTTCTGCTTAAAGTTAAATATAAGCGTGTCACAACAATAAAAGAGAGCCTTTTTAACATTTAAAGTTCAGACACAGACCGCAACCTGATTGAAATGCTCTGGTGGGACCTTAAGAGAGCTGTGCATATATGAATGCCAGTAAATCTCGATGAACTGAAGAAACTCTGTAAAGAAAAGTGGGCAAAATTCCTCCACAATGATGTGGAGAGGGATAAAGTCATACATGATTACTTCAAGTTTTTGCTGATAAAAATGGCACTAAAAGTACTACTAAACTACTAATCATGTTTTTTTAGTGTTTCACAGTAAAATAGTCTATTGAAATCAAAACAAGCTGATAAAGAGAATGAGCAGAAGGTGTACACGAGTGCAAATCATACAAACCTGTTAAATAAAAAAAGACAAAGAAGCCGCTGAGTTTTATGATCTAGTTTGTAAGATTTAATTTGTTGATTATATTCCACGAAAAACAAAGTGGTTAATATTCATATTAACAATTTAGTATCATAATTATGAGAAAACAGAAAAACACTGGGAAAAACACACCTTGACCTCTGATCTGTGACATAAGCTGACTTTCAAATCCAGTCAAAAAAAAGACAATGAGTTCGAAGGTCTAATGCTCCACTTCTTTGTGTTTCAGATGGGTCAATGCCATGGAGGAGGCCACTATTTTATAGCATCTGCTAAGTTAAATAAATGACGCATCCACTCCGTGACTGCAGCAAAGCTACCTGCTGCATGTGAACTCAGTCCATCAGTAAGGATTCGTCACATCAGGCCTTTTGTGGGATATTGAGTGACAATTCAAACACCTGGGAGATTTTTCCTCAAAGGAATTCTGCTGTATGGAGAAGAGCAGCAGAATCCTCGAGTCGGATTTCACAAGAGCCTTCAGGAGCAGCTCAGATACCTTAAATACGTCACCTGAGAGAAAAATTTTTATTTCTTCTGTTTTCACCTTTTTTTTTCAGATGTCTGCACTTTTTCCTTTTTTTTTTTTTTTTGCTTTTCTGGTGTATTTTACCCGACTTTCCACTGGACTGTTAAACCACTCTTTGTCTTCTGCAGGAGACGTCCTTTCATATCAGTTTCGTTGCAGTTATGCATGGTAACTGCAAAGACATGAAAAATAACCTTTGCTTCAGGGTAGTATGCATATCTTGTAAAGGGGGAATGGAGAGATACTTGGTATTCTGAATATATATTGTGAAGTATACGCTGCAGATACTGAAGTGAGTTAGATGATTTATCTGTATAAAAATTGTGATTCACGATGTCCCCAATAAGGGTTCGTTTTAATCATCATAGTATGTGTACATTATTGTTCTTGTGGAGTTTTACACAGTTTTACTCTTGTGTTGAATCTGCAAAGTGAAGAAATGACCCTCGGCATGCCGTCCGCTCTAAAGCATTTGTCAAAGGATGAACAATTTTGAAGATACTTTGTATTTTTTAAAAGTCTTTTAGAAATTTTTCACACAGCTCTGAAGTGCCAGTTGCTTTCTTCCTGTTGAATGCAGTGCATTTTGCAAGTGATGATGAATGTGCCTCACTCTTTATGTTATCACAGTACTGTACGGAGGGACCTTGCTTTTTAATCTATTCTTACATATACTTTAACCTTATAGTATTTTTGAACAGGTCAGTTACTGTGCACTCACATAAGAACATGTTATTGTGCCATTTTTATGAGGGCCTTTTTTAATGCTGTATATATATGCTGCTAGATATAATCATACTTTGGCTGCTTTATTATACAAAAGCTTCTTAAAAATGCTGTCAAACTACCTTCATCCTCACAGTATTAGAGTGATCTCAGCCACTCGTGCCACAGTATTTCACTCATAATCAGATGCAGTTTCTCTTAAATAACCCATCCAATGGCATTATCTGTTCCTTTCAGAATGAAGATCCATCATCAGACAAGCAGCATGATATCAAAAGCACATGTTTGAGTACTGTTCAGCTTTTCTACCCGTTTCCTATAGCTCACACCTACAGTGTTACTATCGTTGTACCTCTATAGCATATACTGCATTGTAAATGTTTATGTATATAGATGCATATAAAAAAATAAACTACATTAAAAATGCTTACTTAGTGGGCGTTCGCTGTGCTGTGCTGCAGGCTTGTTTCTTTTTTGCATTATAATTCAGTATCAACAATAACGAGCGACTGTAAAATGATACCCACTGCAACAGCATAGTAACTTTTTGTATGTGTGTGTGGTTCTGGCTTTGCTGAGGATAGTTACAAGCACAACAGCACTGGATGCTCAGAAATGGCTGTGCACTTCATCCTCTTCTCTCCGACAGAATCGTCTGTTGTATTATTAGGATTTATTCACGTCTTGTTGCTATGCATTGTGTGTTTTTTGTACTGATGTTCACGCTGTGCTTATCTCCTCCTGGTGATAAATACCGGGGTGATGGAGAAATGAGAACACAATGTACCTATCCTTCTCTATTGCCTGTGGTGCTGGAAAAATACAGCTTGGTTAAGTGACCCTTTAATCCAGAAGGGGGCAGCACTACATCGTGTCAAACTGGTTTAATATGAACTTTAGCCAGCCTAAATCCTGTTTGTCTGTGTGAGCATGTGGAAATAACTGGTGTTAAGTGAAAATAAGATTTAATAATCAATGAAAAAGTGGACTTACATGGTAATGTTAATGAAGTTGTCAGCCCACTGATATGGATGGAAATATTTTGCTTTTAATATAAGGTTTTAAAAGAGAAAGAAAGAAAGAAAGAAAGTGGATTCATTTTGTTGTTTTATTGTGTATCAGTATAAGCGTGTGCCAGAAACACACCACAGAATTTATAGTCTTAGCTTATTTGCAAAGGCCCGTGGCCTTTAAAATACATGAAACTCAACCACAAACACAGAGGTAGTACAACACACAGTCTGCACAATACAGCTCACAACTGAACAACAGCAAAGTTGGCAAGTCACAAGAAAACCATTGAATAGAGAGCAGCAGATCATCCATAATTGCATTGCTCAGAGTTTCAGGTGTAAATGATCTCAGTCAAAATCCAGACAAACAGCGGTTTGCCGAAATGGGGATTTACATAGAGCCCTTTATACTCCTCACTGGTTGCTCATCATGTTTCTGAGTACAGTCATCTTAAGGGTAACTAAGCACCTGAGGAGCCTGATCATGTGATAATTTGCATACCCTGCATCCTATTTAAAGCATTAAATTTTGGCTCCTGAGCTTAGCTGTGCAGTATGATTATCAATGGCATAGATGAAGTTGTTTGAAACATTCCTTAGAGATTTTGCTCCATATTAACATCATAGCAACCACTAATGCAAATCTCCCATTTCACACCATCCCGAGGGTGCTCAGTGGACTGCGATGGTTACTGTGGAGACCACTTGAGTACAATGAGTTCGCTGTCATGTTAAAAAAAAAAAAAATAGTTACAAATGATCTGACCTTTATGACATAGTGTAATCCTGGTTGAAGCAGCCATCAGACAGTACACAGTACTTTATGACCACACTGTAACAATACTCAGGCGGGCTGTGGTGCTTAAATGATGCTCAGTTGGTATGAAGAGGCCCAAAGTGTTCCCCACCACCATTACACCACCATCAACAAGCTGAACTGTTGATACAAGTTGTTTACACCAAATTGTGACTCTGCCATCTGCATGTTACAGTAGAAATCAAGACTCATCAGATCAGGCAATGTTTTTCCAATCTTTTACTGTCCAGTTTAGTTCAAATTGTATTCTCGGTTTCCTGTTCTTAGCTGAAAGGAGAGACACCCAGTGTGGTCTTCTGCTGCTGTAGCCACCTGCTTCAAGGTTCAGTGTGATGTGCATTTAGAGATGCTCTTCTGCATACCTTGGTTATAACAAGTGGTTATTTGAGCTACTGTTGTATTCCTATGAGGTCAAAGCCGTCCGTAAAACCTATTCTGAGATTGATATGTGAGGAAAATCCCAGTAGATCAGCAGTTTCTGTAATATTCAGACCAGCTGGTCTGGCAGCAACAACTATTCCATGTTCAGAGTCACTTAAATCACCTTTTTTGCCTATTCTGATGCTCAATTTGAACTGCAACATGCCTAAATGCAGCTCTGTGGCTGATATTAGAGTCCTAATATATGCTTTTTTTTTCTTTTTTTCTTTTTTTTTTACACATGACCTTTGAATTTCTTTATTTCCAGATAAAGAGTGGGGTAATGACAGATTAAAAATCAAGATAAAGGCTAATCGATCAGGAAATAAGTGACTAATCATCCAAGATTTAATTTGAAGAGGTTTAACATAAGTTTGAATATAAGAATGAGCGTTATCAAAAAATAAACGAAAAAGAGGCTATGGTTAGAACTGGAGGATCAGTTGCTGGAGTAAAATAAAAAGTATATGTAAAAGGACATGGGTACAGTGTCCATTTATCCAACATCAAATGCATATGTAGTTTCCTTCTCTGCAAGGAAAGTTTACATACCCTGTGGCGCTACTTTAAAGTTTGTGGATTCACTCCCGAATGAGGAAAAAAACGTTACTCTGTCAAACACTCATTTACAGTTATGTTGTCCATTGAAGCAGCTGTACCAACATATGTTTAAATGAGCAGCTACAGCACAGTTTTGTGTGCAAGTCTTAGCTGTAGATCCTCGTGTTTTCATGTTCACCATGTTGCCTTTCGGTTTTCCAGTGTCTTCAAAGGCATGCGAGTTAACTCAACTATGCATTTCTCTATTACTGTATCAAAGTGACATTTTGTCCAGAGAGGACTTTTCTCCCACCCCTCCAGCTGGTCAGCCACTAGTTTGAGAGATCTGAAATTACTCAAGAACAGATACTAGAAAAATTAGTAATGCAGTAATGTTGCACGAGTTTTGTAAACGAAATCACAATAAGAAGGCACACCGCGTTGTAAGCACGTGGATGATTTTATTTACAATATTTTCTTGTGCAGCTGCCTTGTCCCATTACAGCACACTGCTCTCCTGTTAGACCCCAGCATCCTACTGAAGCAGGGAAGGCGTGACCAGGTAATGGAGAACAGCTGTGTGGGTCAGCCTGCTCTAACACCACACCCTGAACTAGCTGCTCCACCCCTCCAAGTGTTTAAGTGTTTGATTTCCTTCTATTGGAATAGATCTTTTCTCCTCAATTCACCTCAATCCACTAATGTTGACACTGAGCTCTCAGCTTATCTCTTGATTGCAAACCTTTCCCTGCTGACTGTCTGGTCAGAATAGCAGATTTGTTTAAACTCAAGAAGATCCCACAAAGTTTCTGGAGAACCCCTAGCCACTTATCTAAGAGTTAGTGCAACGTGACTGTATCACCAAATGTCTGGAAATCTAATTGTACTTTACAAAGCTTCACTTGTCCTCACTTTTACATTTTAGAGATGCCTTTTTGAATGAGAGTGGTTGCTGATCAATGGGCATGAGAATTTGCATAATTATGATGAATAAACTGACTTCTCAGCCCATTGTTCCTTCAGTGGGCTGGTTTCAGTGTCAGGGCTCTGTGTGCAGAGCAAATGTGGATCCAAATGCAGGACTCCGAGACGAAATGTAACTAAAACCACAGCTTTTATTGCTGGCATGAAACAGAAACAGGGTACGACGCGACACTGAGCACAGGAAAACACAGGGCTAATATACACAGGGTGGTAATCAGCGAATGGGCAACAGGAGGGAGACACAGCTGGGAGAGATCAGGGTTAACGAGACGGGGGGAACCAAGCTGCCCACACTAACATAAGACGCAGACCTTCACAATAAAACAGGAACAAGAAACCATCATACTAAGACACAGACTTGACATTTGAGAGACAGACAGAAAATGACACATGGAACTAGACATATACTAAGCAGACCCAACCGAAGAACAAATCCTAAACACAAACATGAAACTCTAATAATAAACATCATAATCATCATCATCATTAACACAAGAGAACAAGAAAACAATCCCTGATGCAAAATTACACCAAAACATAATAAACTCAAAATACTGGGTCCAACGGACCCAGAACCGTGACAGTCAGTCATTATGCAAATCTCCAAAAGTTGATTCTGTTCATCTGGACGTAGCGTTTTGTGGGAGAAACGTTTCGTCACTCATCCAAGTGACTTCTTCAGTCTCAGCTGACTGCAGGTTTCCCCAACCTTATAAACAGTACATTTGCATAATGACTGAAACCAGCCCACTGAAGGAACAAAGGGCTGTGAGGTCCGTCTTGCGTCCCATTTAAACAAGTGCGTGTTCACACTGCCCCTGGATGTCCTGGCCTCTGAGGTTAAGGTGTACGGCTCCTGGTTGTCAACTGACCAATTTATCATGGCAAAGCCTGTGGTGGACAAAAGATAAGAGGCTGATTATAAAAATGATCCATGCACGCCTTATGACCTACAGCATGTACAGTTAACACAGCTAAATGGCTGTGAAATTGTAAAATTACTTTTGAAATAAAGCTATTCAAAGTCAATTAACTGTGACTATAATAATAGCAATGTTAGCCAGCAAACAAAACGTTAGCACTAATTAAAATAAGCTGCTAGGTGATGTTACTGTTTCAAGTTCTCTCATTGTTTGACATGTAGGGCAGATATTTTGGTGACACTGAGATCAGCCAGACACTAAACAGCAGTGTAATATCAACGCTAGATTAGATGTTTTCTAATCCGATAAAATGACATTATTCCTGTTTATAGAAGATGTTTGTTGTCTGTTTGTTTGACTGACAGGAACAGGAAATAGTGGTTGGAAGTTACTGTTGGTGTTACATGAGGGTAAAGAAGGGCTTTAAGCACCTGGGTAAAAACTGGACCCATGATGAAACACTACAACAAGTACAACATATTCTTCAGTTTTAATATGTGACCATACTGTGCAGACTGCTGATGAGTTACACGGTTACATTTCATTAATCATTGTTAAACTAAAGTGGTAAGCAGTTACTTTATCCTTTCACTTAAAATTTCCAGGAAAAACACTACCTTGGCTACTTTTGTGCTTACATTTGATCTATGCTGGGTCACTACTTTTGCACTATAATGCTGCTGCTGACACCTTGGTTCACACTGACAACTAGAAAAAAGCTGATAGGAAAAGAAGGATGGAAAATGCCTGGAATTTAGTTACACTTGCAAATACTGCTGCCTCCAAACTGCAAGCATCAATAAAATGTTACAGTATTGTTTTCTATATCTGTGCATATATCCTTATTGGTAGTTTTCTCGAAATAGAAGCTCTTCATTTTAAAAAAAAAACCTCTGATAACATTGCTGAAGCTAGCGCCCACCCCTACTGCGCATACTGCAAATATAAAACTGATATATACTTACATCATGGAGCAGTTGATGTCTGGTTTCCGACAAATACAGTAAAGAGGTGCGTTCTCCCCCTCCATACCAGTGTTCTCAGGCACTGCTACATGGTCAGTGTCAGACACTTCACTGTCCTACAACATACCACATAGGACCACATTAGAAATGACATGTATGTAGACATGCTAATTATACCTGGCTAAATGGATGCAGTAACAAAATGTTACTAACTACTCTAGTTATTAGTTTCCAGATGTGTGCAGTTGCTCCAGTCTTACTGACAGTATACTGTTTCAAACACCAGTGCCAACATTTTATTTTTTAAATCTTAGTATGATTCTGCACCAAGACTTGTGGCCTGTTGCTCGGTAACTTATTGTCTGACTACATTAACTACAGTTCATAAACATCATTCATTTTCTCCTACTTATTTTATTCAGGTTGTATTTCAGCTGTCATAGGGCAAAAGTACACCCTGGACAGGTCGCCAGTCTGTTGGAGGGTTATTAGAGAGACTCAGACAACCACTCACACCAACAGCCAACTAACCTAACCCCGCGCATGTCTTTGGAGTTCAACACCAGTCTGGCCGAATCACAGATAAGCAGGGTGTCTGTGCTGCAGAGCACAGCTGTGTCAGAGACTCTCGACATCAATGTAGCGTTAAGGATGCGGAGCGATGGGTGCACTAACACAATGTAAATATTAAAGTCCTCGCCATTGTCAATATGCTGTTGCGCCCTTGTTCGTATTATTGCAACCATATCTCGAGTCTAGCTTACCCTAAAAGTTTGGAGAGAATTGGTCTGTTAAGAAACGCAATCGATTGTTTGGGACTGCTCTAGCCATCACGTCGCATAAACAACTCTACTTCCGGTGGGAAAACTAATTAAGGGTAAAGTCGCACTAATAACATCTACCACTCACGTTCATAAGCATACACTATGATCACTCCCACGCAGTAACGTTGTAATAAATATAATCCCCGGTAAAGTCAATTAGCGAACACTACTGGCATGTAATGCCAATGGCGACCATTTCACAAACTGTAGAAAATGCTCAAAATGTTGTCGGCACCAAAAGTGAAGGGCTGACAGTTGTGTTTATATACGAACCGTAAGGGCTAATGTTGGTTAGCATCAGCTAAAGCGAGGAAGTTTGACACTTGCAGAGACAGTGAACGCAGAGAGAGCTTAAAAACGCATTGTGGGTTGTTGTTTTTTTTGTTGTTTTTTTGCATTAAGACGTTGCACACAAAATTACAGATATAACGGTGACTTAGCTGCTCGTTGGATAAACCCATGGACCTTAGAAAAGATCAACACTACTCGGATGTAAGCACCCGTGTATAACACAATAGGCAAAATTACGCTTGCTAACCTTTCCACATCACAGGCTTCACATTAAATAAACATTTTTTCAAATACTCACCATGATCTGAGACCGTTTAAATATTTTGTTACTCTGAAAATATGGCAGTATGAAGCTAAACCTTTAGCTTGACGGCTAAAGCAATGCTAAGATTTCCACGGAAACGATCAGCGGACATCGTTAAAGTACTATTGGTCTACATTCTTCTTCTATGGTAGCAGCCTGGGCAGAGTAACAGCCAACTTTAAACTGCGCCATCTGTTGGCACCAATTACAGTAGAAAACATGATTGCCACAACACGTTTTTTGGGGAAAAATAACAGAGATTGAAACTTTACTGATAATTTGTCCAAGTTGAAAAATGCCCTCCTCCAAAAATATCACGTGACAACCTCATTGCCTTACAGAATTATGACGTCACACACGTAGAATCTTACCACCATTCTTTCCTTTGATCCAAAAACCTATAAATAGGGGTGAAGAGCAACGACTTTTAGTCCGTTTCTCGCAGCCTTGATGTGTGCAGCATTGAACCGTTCGCCAGAAAAGCCTTTTGAAATATTTGGATCCTTTGCAATTGTAACTGTATCCAGACCCAACATGTCTCAAAAAATTCCAAAGGGACAAGAAGTTGACCCATACGCTCTTCCTTGGGATGAGCCACTAGACTCTTCCCTTTCCTCTCTTCCCTGGTGTGACCAAGTGGAACTAGAGGAAAAGCGTTTGGAAGAACTGGAGGATGAAGCGCTCAGAAACGCAGAGAAGATTAAGTTCTTGATGGAGGAAAATGAGCAAAAGAGCGCTCAACTAAAAAAGTTGTCATACCAGCTTCAAGAAAAGGAAGCTATTATTGAGGGGAAACAACAGGATCTCCATGACATGGACAAAAAGAACCAGGAGCTCCAAGGAAAACTTGATGAAGCCCTGCAACAAAATGAAAAACTTGTCCAAGAGAAGAAACAAGACGGCATGAAGAAGAGAGGGCTGCACAGCAATCTCCAAGAAATGGAGCTAATGTACAGTGTAGACAAAAAAAGGCTTGATCGCACACTGCAAGAAAATGAAAAGCTTCTCAAAGAGAAAAGGCAAAAGGAGTTAAAAGAGAAAGAAATGCATTCCAAGCTTCAGAGCATCAAGCAACACAACGAAAGCTTGCAAGGAAAGCTTGATCAAGCTCTGCGACAAAATAGAAAACTCCTCCAAGAGAAGATGAAAGACAGCACGAAGAAGAGAGGGCTGCACTCCAATCTCCGAGACATGGAGCTAATGTACAATGTTGACAAAAAAAGGCTTGATCGCACAGAGCAAGCAAATGAGAAGCTTCTCCAAGAGAAAAGGGAACAAGAAATCAAACAAAAAGAAATGGATTCCAATCTGCAGAGCATCAAGCAACAAAATGAAAGCTTGCAAGGAAAGCTTGATGAAGCTCTGCTACAAAATAAAGAAATCCTGCAAGAGAAAGAGCAGCTGGACAGAAAGCAGGGAGACATGGAGTGCCAACTCCAGCTCATGGAGGGAAACAACAGGATGCTGCAGGTAAAGTTCGAAGACCTGCTTCAAGAGAGAGAACAGCTGGTCAATAAGCAGAGAGAAGAAAAACTTCTTCTCCAGGAGTTTGAGAAACAGGAGGCAACATCTAAAGTGCTGAAAGAAAGGTTGGAAGAAAAACAAGCCGTAATAGAAGAAGTGGAGAAAAAATGCAACAAGCTGCAGAAGCAAAACACCGAAACAATCGAGGAGCTGAAAATCCTCATCCTCGAGAAAAAGGTGCTCGTGGAAGAGCAGCTGAAGAAAAAGAAAAAACGCTTCTGCTTCTTCTGGAGGAGGAACACTCCTTCTTTCAGTACTGCCAATGTCACCTCTTCCTCTCCCACCTCTGTTCCAGCTTAATCCCCCCCCTTAACTACTAACACCTCTCCCATCTCCCTCCCGTTTTTTCACAGTCACCCCCCAACCAGTCCCGACAGTTGACTGCCCCCTCTAGAGCCTGGTTCTGTCATAGGTTTCTTCCTTTAAAGGGAGTTTTTCCTATCCACTGTCGCCTAGTGCTTGCTCAGAGGGGATTGTTGGGGTTTTCTCTCCTCTCTCCCTTTACTTTCCATCCCACCCACCCCCACCTTTTCTTTTTTCTTAATAATTGAACAATAAAAACAATTGGTCACTAATTAAATGTGTCAAATCAATGTCTTTATTCAAGAATACAAGAAATGGGTAATAGCTGCATGTGTGTTTGTGTGTGTGCATAATATGCATACTTTACGTGTTGGATCCAAATCCCACAAGGAATTAAATAAAACAAGAAGACAAACAAAAACAAATATTTCTCTCCCTTCCCAGGTCAGGAATCAGGGTGAGGAAGAAATGAGGTCAGATCAGTGCAGGTTTTTGCACTACTGACATAAAGTTTCTGCTGATTAAAAAAAGTATGTCGATATTTCTGAAATACATTTGCAAACAAATAACTTTGACAACTTGTCTTTTTTCATAAAAGAAAAAAGAAAAATCAGAGAGCAGAGCTGGTAAAACAGCTTAGCTCCGCAGGTTACAGGAGATCAGATGCCAAATACTTTTCATGACAGTCTTCGTTATTGCATAAATCTCCCCTTTTATCATTGATCAGTAAATCACTGCATATACATTCATCTAACCGTTATAATTTCATGAGTAAAGATTCTCAGATGACTGAATGGCGGTTTTAGTAAATGTTTAACTTTATTGTGATTTCTATTTTTAGAATCAATAGCACACATTTTGATTTCGTTTTGCAAGCTGCTGATTTCACACAGATCCACTGCCCAAACGTGCCTTTGAGTTTTTCATCATTTAACAAGAATAGGCTCAGGCAATCATTGTGGAATTAGGCTTTGGGAAGGTCTGGGGACAGGTATGATGGTGGTGGTTTTAAAGCACTGTGGCACAACCGCTTGACTCAGGGAGATGTTAAAGATGCCTGCTAGGACATCAGTCAGCTGGTCAGCACGGGCTCTGAGCACGCGTCCAGGTATATTGTCTGGTCCAGCAGCTTTGTGTGGGTTGACTTTAGTGAGAGTCCTTCTCACACTGGCCGTGGACAGGGACAGCACTTGGTTGTCTGGCAAGGGGGTGGCCCTCTATAGTCCGTCTTGCGTCCCATTTAAACAAGTGCGTGTTCACACTGCCCCTGGATGTCCTGGCCTCTGAGGTTAAGGTGTACGGCTCCTGGTTGTCAACTGACCAATTTATCATGGCAAAGCCTGTGGTGGACAAAAGATAAGAGGCTGATTATAAAAATGATCCATGCACGCCTTATGACCTACAGCATGTACAGTTAACACAGCTAAATGGCTGTGAAATTGTAAAATTACTTTTGAAATAAAGCTATTCAAAGTCAATTAACTGTGACTATAATAATAGCAATGTTAGCCAGCAAACAAAACGTTAGCACTAATTAAAATAAGCTGCTAGGTGATGGTACTGTTTCAAGTTCTCTCATTGTTTGACATGTAGGGCAGATATTTTGGTGACACTGAGATCAGCCAGACACTAAACAGCAGTGTAATATCAACGCTAGATTAGATGTTTTCTAATCTGATAAAATGACATTATTCCTGTTTATAGAAGATGTTTGTTGTCTGTTTGTTTGACTGACAGGAACAGGAAATAGTGGTTGGAAGTTACTGTTGGTGTTACATGAGGGTAAAGAAGGGCTTTAAGCACCTGGGTAAAAACTGGACCCATGATGAAACACTACAACAAGTACAACATATTCTTCAGTTTTAATATGTGACCATACTGTGCAGACTGCTGATGAGTTACACGGTTACATTTCATTAATCATTGTTAAACTAAAGTGGTAAGCAGTTACTTTATCCTTTCACTTAAAATTTCCAGGAAAAACACTACCTTGGCTACTTTTGTGCTTACATTTGATCTATGCTGGGTCACTACTTTTGCACTATAATGCTGCTGCTGACACCTTGGTTCACACTGACAACTAGAAAAAAGCTGATAGTGTCATGGTCCTGGGTCATGCGACCCAGTGTTTTGTGTTTAGTCCATTTTGATGTTTATTGTTTGTTTAGGTTCATTAAGTTATTCCAGCTCATTTGTAATTATATTACCCTTGTGTTAAGCCTCCCTTGCCCTTCATGTGTTTATGTCTGTGTGTCTTGTGTTGTCAAGTTCATGCTGTCGCTTCTGTCATCTTCCACTGTACTCAGTCTCCCTGGTTCGTGCGTTTACCTGTCATGAGTCATGTCTGCATGGTTATGTTTAGTTCATGTCATGTCTAATCTCCATGTTTCCTGTTTTACTTTGAAAGTCTGTATTCAATGTCAGTGTATTTAGTTTCACCTCTCCTGTCCTGTCGTTAGGTTCATGTGTGTCAGCTGTGCTCCCATGTGTGGCCACTTCCCCTGATCATCCCTCATGTGTATTTAGTCTCTGTGTTTCATACAGTCCGTGTCGCGTCGTCTGTGTTTTCACATCCATGTTTTCCCGGTCAGTCTTTGCAGCGAACATCATAGTCTCTGAGTTTCCTTAGTTTGTCACAGTATTAGTTTTCCCAGTTTAGTTATAGCCTAGCCACGCTATCCTTGCTTTGTTTGTACACCTTGTCTCCAGCCATAATAAAGGCTCGCTTTCTGTTAAGTTCACTCCCGTCTACTCACTTGTGTACCCACCTGGGTCCATTACACACACCACCGCATGGCCTGTCTCTGCAGACCGTGACAGATAGGAAAAGAAGGATGAAAAATGCCTGGAATTTAGTTACACTTGCAAATACTGCTTCCTCCAAACTGCAAGTATCAATAAAATGTTACAGTATTGTTTTCTATATCTGTGCATATATCCTTATTGGTAGTTTTCTCGAAATAGAAGCTCTTCATTTAAAAAAAAAAAATCTCTGATAACATTGCTGAAGCTAGCGCCCACCCCTACTGCACGTACTGCAAATATAAAACTGATATATACTTACATCATGAAGCAGTTGATGTCTGGTTTCCGACAAATACAGTAAAGAGGTGCGTTCTCCCCCTCCATACCAGTGTTCTCAGGCACTGCTACATGGTCAGTGTCAGACACTTCACTGTCCTACAACATACCACATAGGACCACATTAGAAATGACATGTATGTAGACATGCTAATTATACCTGGCTAAATGGATGCAGTAACAAAATGTTACTAACTACTCTAGTTA